AACTATATTAATTTTACACTAAATTTATTTCAAATTACTTAAAACTTTGTATTCTTTTGTGTTAAAATATTAACACAATATTCGTGTCACAATTTAACTTAATAAATTAACACAAAAATTTCTGTGAATCGTTTGAGACATATATCTGTTAAAAATGCAAATTTTTCAACTGTTATATATAATATATATATATTGTCCCACGATTACCATGATTTTCAAAATAAATTTTAAAAAATTCTCCCTGTACTTAAAAAAATTGTCCCAATGTATGTATATGTTATAATGAAAAATTCCGGGAAAAAAATAATGCGTCCACTATTTTGTATAACCAATTATAAAATGTAATTGCAGACGTGTAAAATTAAACAGCGCACTGACGTATCTCCGTAACGAGGTGTCCCTCGAACAAGTGACATCGGTACGGTTCCTTTCCTCGCGAGGACGAGAATTTTGGAGTAACTGGAGGCGATCGCGGATGAAAACACGCGGAAACGTGGAAAAGCCGCTCGCGACTGCACGATGACGGCGACGTCTTTGGCGACGAGAGCCGGCGAATAAGAGTAAATCGAACCGGTGTATTTCCGGCGCTCACCCGCACCCAGAGTGTCACACAGAGGGTTCTCTTTCGGTCTCTTTCGTTCCTGTCTCCGCTTTCATAGAAAGGGAGGCGTCACGACGACTAGAGAGAGAAAGGGAGAGAATAGTTTTATAGGAGAGAGAGAGAGAGAGAGATAGATAAATAGATGTAGGAAGAGAATAAGTTGCAAGGAGAGAGATAGAAATATATATGAAAACGAGGAGAAAGCAGAGGAGATGGCAAAAGAGAGAAAGGAATTGTGAAAAGAGGAGGTGGATAAATATACAGAGAAAAAGAGAGGGAAAATGTCACGATGAGGAAAATAGAGAAAGAAGAGATAGTCGGGACGTAGAGAGTCGAAAAAGAAGAGTTAGAATTAGAGAAACGAATAAAGAAAATAGATGTCGCGACACTTATAAAAAAATAGGAAAGAGAGAGGAAGAGAAAATATCGCGGAAAAATATATCGAAGATTACAGCGATGCACATGTCATTCCAAAATAACACGGCATGATTAATACTATATATTAATGAATATATTAATACAAATGTTGAAAAATTTATATTTTCTTGTTAAAAAAGATTCCCGTTAAAATTGTTCTGTTAAAAATATTTAACATATTGCTGTTGTTAATTGAACAAAATTTGTCTTAAAATTTACAGAAAACAATGTTGATTTTATTCTATAATATAATATATAAGTAGAAATGAGATAAAATGTAAAATTTATATTTTTGGTTAATTTTCACATTAAAATGTTAATTTTATACAAAATTTATTTCAAATTATTTGAAACTTTGTATTCTTTTATATTAAAATATTAATACAAATATTCGTCACCATTTAACATATCTGTATTATGTTAAATTAATACAAAAAGTTTTGTGGACCGTTTGAGACATGATGCGATATCTGTTAAATTTAACACAAATTTTTCAACTATGTATATATTGATACTAATTTTTCAAATTTTTTTCAATTTTTCGAATGATTCTCGATGCAATAAAAATATGTATCGCCGATCAGATTTATCGATCCGCTGTATACTAACATCCTTATCGTTATCAAGGTTACCATGTTATCAACGCGAATATCCATTCGACCGCTAAAGATTAGCGCGTTCTACAAATTACGCAATGTTCATCTCCTACATATATGAGTTAGATATCTCACGCGCGAGAAGATCCGTATGTTTCGAGAAAGATTAAATCGTAAAACAGTCTGATACACAAAAATAACATTATGGAAAAAAAATGTTTACTCGCTAATCAGCGCTTCACACATGACAGATGATGACATTTAGGGTACACTAATTATATAGCCTCTGCGACAAAATATTCCATGTACTATTCACCGGAGTGTTAATTATTTATTATTTATTAATAATTATTAATAATTAATTCATTAATAAGTATAATCATTAATTATATTTTTGTGCTAATCACTAATTAATATTAGAACACGGCCGCGAACAGACGCGTCGATTAGAAATGCAAAACGATATCTGTGCCAATTAAGAGAAATATTTGATTCATACTTTATTTGAAAAAATTCTATAAGTGTATTTATAAAATATTATAAAATTCTATAAGTGTATTTATAAAATATTATATAAATTCTATAAGTGTATTCATAATTCTATAAGTGTATTTATAAAAATTCTATAAGTGTCTAAGTGTATTTATATGTGTTCTATAAATACACTTACTTGCAATTATTCCAATTATATTTCCTTTTATTTTTACATATCACGAATATTTATATAATTCTCTAATTTTATATATTATGCACGTTTCTTTCGGATTTATTTTTGACATTATATCTTTTTGGCACCGATGCTTTTCGCGTTTCCAATCTACGAAATAACGAAACCTTTTTGCGTGTCCCTTCTCACGTCACGAGCGCACTATGAATGGCTGAACTTTCAACGAGTGCGTGACAAACTAATGTACAGTTGGTATAACACTGATGCAACGAGACCATATAGGAGTCCGAGATAATAATTACGTGCCCCTCTCTAACGACTTTTCCTCCCCAGTCCTTCTCGCCGCGAATATTCAGCATGTTTTATCCGCGGATTTATAATGTCCGACACGTCGTTAGCGAGTCGGAAATGAGTCGAAAGAACCGCCGACGAGGCACATAAAAGAGCAGAAGAGAGTCGGGGTTGTATCGACAATTAATGAATGAATGTCATCGTGTATATATATAAAAGGAAAATCGTAACGCGTGACGTAATTTAAAATGACTATTTTTTGCTTTATACACACATGCATGTAAGAGTATTTCCAGGTTTTAATTGTATTAATAAGTAAAAATAAAGAAAAAATACTATATATATGAATATTAGAACTATAAATATTTCATTGAAGAATCCTGTCAGGAAATATCGTAATTTTTGGATATTTTTGAAATATTTTTATATCTAAAGAAATGGAAGAGAAAAAAATTATAATAGCAGTTTATGATAAAAATAGAAGTCAGTATACTTACAATACGAATGAAAAAATATTTATCAATTTATCAAGATAAAATATGAGAAAAAAACGCGAATTAGATAAAAATATATATATATATTAAAATATAAATGAGGTAAAATCGTAAATGTGTGCACAATACTTGTACATACTAGCATGGTTAGTAATAAAATAATAAAGTACTATATATATGGATATTAGAACTATAAATATTTCATTGAAAAATCCTGTCAGGAAATATCGTAATTTTTGGATATTTTTGAAATATTTTTATATCTAAAGAAATGGAAGAGAAAAAAATTATAATAGCAGTTTATGATAAAAATAGAAGTCAGTATACTTACAATACGAATGAAAAAATATTTATCAATTTATCAAGATAAAATATGAGGAAAAAACGCGAATTAGATAAAAATATATATATTATATAAAAGGAAAATCGTAAAATGTGTGACACAATTTAAATGACTTTTTTGCTTTATACATACATGTAAGAGTATTTCCAGGTTTTAATTGTATTAATAAGTAAAAATAAAGAAAAAATACTATATATGGATATTAGAACTATAAATATTTCATTGAAAAATCCTGTCAGGAAATATCGTAATTTTTGGATATTTTTGAAATATTTTTATATCTAAAGAAGCGGAAGAGAAAAAATTATAATAAAAGTTTATGATAAAAATAGAAGTCAATATAGTTACAATACGAATAAAAAAAGATTTATCAATTTATCAAGATAAAGCACAAAAAAACGCAAATTAAATGAAAAAATATTATCAAGCTATTTTATGATTCTATTTTATAATTATATATAAAGCATTTTTTTAAATATTGTAAGTATGCATTTTTCAAATATGTGTATACATATGGTATCATTTGTGGTTAACGTAATGATCAAAAATAATAAATCATTACCGTTAGCATGATGAATAAAATATCATAAATGCAGGATAAAAAACAAGAAAAATTCTAAGCAAAGAAAATATAAAATTCAAATTAAATCGGTGATTATAATTATTAATGTCACTGTTGAATCTTGAATCATATTTTTATTGTAAATATGCATTTTAAGAGATTAACTAATGATTAATTAAAAATTAATTAAAAACAGATTCAAAAAGACGAATGTTGCTCCTTTTTTAATAAATATCCGAAAATCTAAACGCAAATTCTTTCAGCTGTATATGATGAATTTAAATTTAATCCTCTTTTTGCTAAAAATTCGATACAAATATATTATCACAAGTTTATGTAACTTTAAATTTAATCCTGAAATTATATGTAAATTTCCACGAAAAAAAATGTAAAGATAAAATTAATTAGAAAACAAAGTATCGATATATCGACTAGAATCTCAATATAATAGAATTTATCTACGAAGCAATTTAATTATGAATTTATTTATCACTCATTGAAAAATAGCTCGCAGCGATATATCTCCAATAAAGATAATTTATAGCTTAGCTTAGATATGAGCTCAGTAGTATCGCTCATATTAGTAATTCAATAAAATTCCAGCGAATTATTATTGCGTCTGCTTGACAGACACAAATAAAAACATATATCTCAGACTGTCAATATTTCCAAGATAAATGTATACTGACACTGACGTGCAAATACGTTAATACAAAAATATTTGCATACAACAGATGTATACATTAATGAATCTCAAAGTGTCAACATGTATCTTCGATGAGAAAAATGCAACGGTATCGATACCTCGACAGTTCGCATTCCTGCGCGCTTTTGGCAAATTAAAAAAAACGCGTTTCGCGTGGATGCAAAGTATTTCCGGTAAAAGTTGAATCCCGCCAATACTTATATATAATTAACACAATCGTGGTATCGATAAACCGCGGCGTCCCCCATGCTTGACAGGCGTCCTGACGCCTTGGAGGTTAGCTCGGCGCTCTTCGGAGCGGATTACGAGGCGTTATTACTCACCCAGATCGTCCATGATGTGCTAGCCGGGCGCGGAGAGACCCCCGGTCCCACGGAACTCCAAAAAGTGCGTGGCTTGGCCCGTGTCGATCACACGCGGATCACGAAAAAGAAGCGCAACGCGCGCGACTTCGCTGCCTGTCGCCCCGTCGACGTCAGCGCTGGACTCCGCGGCTCACTTCACGCGGTGGAACGTCAAACATGGAGGCTCCGATCCTCCAGATCAGTGGTCGACCTATGCGTTTCGGTGCCCTTAATCGCACTGGAAAAAATTTTTTTTTCAATTTTTCAAATAGAAAAAAATTATTAATATATACGTGAAAATAAATCAACTCAATATTTTTACACGTTCTTAATTCTTACAAATAAAAAACATGATAAATATGGCATTGAAAATCCTGAAGTAAATAAAATATAAAAATTAAAATAAATTTGATAATTTAATTTATGAAAAAATGCTGTGTTAAAAGAATCATCTTATAAGAGAAATCATATAATTGAAAAAAAACCTTAAAATTTAAACTCTTGTATTTAATATATGATTCATATTATTTATGTTTATTATTTTAACAAAAAATTTAGCATGTACTTATTAAGTATATCTATTATAATTAAGAAATATTCTTCGATTCCCTTCATATTATGTAACATGTCATTCAATAAAATTAAAAATTATTGCAAACATACATAAACAATTTGAAAAAAAATTCTAAATAAATAAGATGAATCAAATCTAAAATTACTGATATGTTTAGCTCAGATTGTTTAAAGAGAGATAAAATTATATATATGTGATTAATTCCTATAAAACATATTTTAAATATTTAATGCTGCATAAAATAATAATACTGACTCACTAAATATTATTTATTTGATTTTTCGATGCTCTGGAAATTTTCTCATGGGATGGTTGCGTTTTCAGCCATCAGGGAGTCGCATATGTTCAACATTCTTTTCTTCTTACTTTCTGATCCTGTCGATAGCTATTACCTAAGTTTGATCTTAGTAGGGAAATTGGATACTTTGGTCTATTTTTTTAAGGATTGAATGAACCAACCAGGTTCAGCATGCGCTTCCTTCTCTCATATATCCTACACAATGATTTCATTTCGTATGCCAAAAATTTTACAGATGCCAAACTTGTCAAATACTAATTCTAAATTATAATGTGCATGATTTGAATGCGTTCTTCATTATCTTTTATGTATCGTAATTTTGTTAAATTTTATATATATATATATATATAATATATATATATATAAAATTTAACAATATATTATATATATATATATATATATATATATAGTAGGTTGGATTTAATATTATATACATCTGCTATATACACATTTTTAACAATTGATTAAAACGTAAAGGAGGAAAAATCTCCATACGATTTTGACACTTTTTTCTTCTTTGTAGAGGGTTCCGCATTTGCGTCCCATTTATCCAATCTAAAAGTCAGATTCAGTATTAAAAATAAACGAAGTATAAAATATTTGCATAAATAAGTCAAGACAATAACTTATAATTTGGAAAAAATTTGATATCTTACTTCTCCTGTTCCAATTTCACATATTTCCCTATTCCGGATCGATAAATTTTCTTAGTGTCATTTTTGTCTTTTTTGTCTGTCGTTTTGCTCCGACTTGCTTCTTGAGCTAATCGTTCCACTTCAGCAGCTCTTTCTGCAATCAGCTGCTCATCAGCTTCTTGGAAGGGATCCACAAAGACTTGAATACCCTGTATAACTATATCTTCTATCGGTCGATCTTTATTGTCCACCTCCACCTTCTCGATCGCGTTTAACGTGTCCAGACCTCCGACTATCTTTCCGAAGACTGTGTGTTTGCGATCGAGATGTCTGCACGATCGGAACGTGATAAAACTAGAACGACAATGATAATATTAATAAGGAAAAACAGATATGATATAATTGTGAGTCCTTCGTTTTAATCTTACAATTGGGATCCATTGGTGTTTGGACCTGAGTTCGCCATAGATAAAATTCCTCTGCCTTGATGTACCAAATTTGGCTTGAATTCGTCCTCAAACGGTTTGTCCCAGATAGATTTGCCACCATTACCTGTGTTAGTTGGATCACCTCCTTGAATCTGTAAAGGAAAGCAAAATATTTCGATTGTTATAAAATAGAGAAACTAAAGTAGAATAAAATAAAGAAAAAAATTTTCACAAAACAAACTTCTCAAGTTAAATATTTAAAATCAGATGTATTTACCATAAAATTTCTTATTGATCTGTGAAACTTTGTGCCGTCATAATAACCACTCTGACAGTGTTTCATGAAATTTTCACAGGTCTTTGAAACCAGGTCACAGTGTAGCTCCAGATTTAAAGCTCCAAAATTTGTAAGTATTCTTACATAGCCTAAGTAAAAAAATAAGTAAAAATAAAAAAATTGTTTATTACAAGTTTGAGCAACAATATAATTAATAATAACATAACTATGATAATATACCTTTCTTTTTAACTCTCTCGTATCGCACCAAATCTTCTGCGATTACAGCTGCTTGATGGGTAGTCTCTGCTGGCATTATTGTTGAAGTAAAACCTGCAGCCACTGCACCAGTAGAGTAATGTGCCTATTTATAAATAAATAATAAAATAAAAATAATAAAAATAATTGACAAAAATGGACACAATCTTATTATTTGTGAATATACAAACAGCATTAAATTTGTCAGCCTTCTTAGATGTTTCATCTTTTTCACTACTTTTTGTTGGTTTAAAATCTCTCTCCAATTCTTCCAAAATTTCCTTGGTTTCCATAGAGACGGTTTTTAACTTCGCATTTGGATTGTTTCGCTCTCTCACAGTTTCTAAAAAAATATCGTTTTTATACAATATATAAAAAAAGTTTGATAAAACTAACATAGAAATAATTTTTTCTAGACTAAATAAAGTTACCTTCATCTTCTACTCTTATATTATTCTTAATATGATGAAATGTAGACAAATTGAATTTCATTGCATTGTTTGGATCTTGAATTGTGATAATATCCTGGCGTGTAAATGACTGATCATTTATTAAATCTTTCCAGTTTGCAGCTTTTATGTTCAACTGTTCAACAGCCTAAAAAAATAATTCTTTTTATTATATTTCTTACATTATTATTCAAAAGATAATTACAACAGCTCATAATAAGAATATAAGAAAATAAATAATAAAATAAGATAGTTTTATGAGAAATACAAAGGCATTTATATGCACTTACTTCATAAGAAAATACATTTCCTGTAGTTTTAATGGCGACAATGTGCGAATGTTTGGTGAACAGTTTAAAAAGGACAGGGCACTGATACTCATCCTGCACATTTTTATGAAAATTTAATTTAATTAGACTTTTTGCATCCAATGGTTTCCCGGTTATAGGATTGTGTTTATATTGTTTCAAATAAGCTAGAATAGCTTCTAGCTCAAACACATTCCCATGTGGATCACAGTAAGGATGTTCAAAAGGCTGCAGAGACAAACAGCAATGGTCATATGGCAAACGCCTGAACGTTTTCTCTTCACTTGTTTCCAGAGTTGTCCCTGATTTTCTTCCACCATACAATGTTGACCATTCGGTGTACGTTAAGTACCTGACAAAAATTTGTCAATAATTACAAATTTGAAGTAAGATAATTTTTATAATTGTATATATTTATGTGTGAAAGAAACAATAAATAACACTATATAACTCACATCTTATCTTTCTGATGCTGGCGTTTCCCCATTTTGAAGTAGCTTTATAACTATTTTTAATTAAAAACTTTCAAATAATATAAAATTATCAAGAAACTGAATAAACTTTTCAGAAAAACTGAATTCGCAGAGTCTTGTCTATATCCTTCTGTCCATTGGTTAGTCAAAACAATAGAAATACCGTCGAATAGAGATTCTCTGAATATAATTTCAACTTTTTACTGATTGGTCAATTCCTAAATCAAACATGGCGGAATTATGCCGCCATATTAAACAAACTTAAAATCAATGTTTTGTTAAGAAAAACAAAAATATTTATTATACATACATGTATTTTTTCAAATTAAAATATCCAAATATTTTACTATATTTATTATATTTTATCAAATAAATTTTCAGAAAACATATATATAATTTGTAATTAAAAATTATTATTTCAAGCTCATATCAGTATTGAAAATATTTTTAATTTTATTAACTTTTATTTATCAAAAATATTATCTAAGTTAATTTTTTAGCATAAATTTTAATTTCTAAAATTTTTCTTCTAACTAAATCAATTTATGAACACTTATAAAGTAAATTTTAATAAGACAAAAATGTTTTATTATATATATACCTATTATTAAAATTAATATAAAATCAAATTTCAATTTTTTAAATTTTAAACATTTACTTAAACATTGATTCAAAATAAATTTTACTTTGAATGCTGATACAATAACAATGCTGTGAACTTTCAAACTAACAAAGATCTTCTATGTTTTGATTTTTTTAAACGATAGATTTTAATAACAAAATATAAAATATAGCAATAAACTAAAAGTGCATCTTATTTGTATTCATGTCTTGCATAAATTATTTTAGCAATAATGTATAAAGTCTATTTAAATTAAACCTAACACATCATGCAGAAAATAAAAGATAAATTATTTATAAAATAAACTCATGTAAAAAAAATTTGTTAAATTTTATAAATTTGCTTGTAACAGTTCTGTCTATAAATAGTATAATGATATTTTGCTATGCTTTATTATTGTCACATTTATGTTTCAACTCAATAGCTTGCATAATTGTCTCGTAAGACCATTTACAATCATTTTTACTAAGAATTATAATTTGATCTTTATTAAAGATTTTTTCTAAATTAGTTTTTAAATTTTCATACTTTTGATTGCTTTCTCTCAATCTTTTTAAACGTTCCTTCAAAATTTTTCTAAATCTATCACTTTTTGTTATTATTTTATTAAACATTTCTTCGCGTGTGTTTATGGCACTTTGAAGTTTTTTGCAAGTTTGTTCGCTCTTTTTCAATAGAAGTTTTAATTCTTCGCATTGTTTTTTCCAATCTACTTCTTCCACATTTGCAGATATAGGTGCATTTAAATAAACTTGTGATATTGGAAGCAAATTGATATTACTTCTTTTATCAGCCACCAAATTATCAATATCATTTTCACCTGTGTTCTGATTATAGACCAAATTATTTGTATCCAGTTGATGAGAAGGGAAAATTGTCGGCACAGCGTTACATTTTAACTTCTGTTTACCATCACAACGGACTTTCTCCCACATATTCTTAGAAAAATGTACCTGCGTAGAATTAGAATATGATTGATATATGTATGATAAGTTATTAAACATATATTTCACAAGGATTTACAACAAAATTTATTTACTTACGTCGCATACGCGACTATGTGCCTTGGGTTCCCAATTTGGTTTACCAATATTGGTGATCCACAATGCTCTCCGTTGAGGATCTGTGGGAAAACTTCTCATTGAGAACCCCTTGACGGTTGAATTAGTACAACCGGATATGCAGCAACCCGGCATCTTCTTAGAAAAAATATCCAAACTGATAAATTGACAAAAGTGACAAATGTCAAAAGTGACAAACGTCAAAATTGACAAATGTCAAAAATGACAAATGTCAAACATCACTTGTGTTCGCATCAAGGTATCCTACTAGCGCCACGTGGTGGCCGGCGTAAATTTCACTTTCTATGCTTCAATATATGCGCGCATTTAAATTTCGATAAAGGCGAATTGGAAACAGAAACTCGCGGAAAGAGATGTGTGTGCAAAGTTATTTGTGACTTGTGACATCGATTATTTCGCGAAGACGGATCATACGCACATATATGTGTTAAATGGATAATGTATTCTTTGAAAAGAAATGCAATATAGCAATAAGATCGTCACACATACAATTAAAATATGCGATGTCTCGTTGTCGCTGCACACACAATACTTATATCACTTGCTTACGAGTCGTAATATTGCTTCGATCAAAGTATTTCTTCGCGTTGTGCTTCACAATTACATCTCGCATGCTTCAATGCGTTTAATGTTACCGCACAACACTGCTTTAATTAAAGAATTCTTCGTACAATACTTAATTATTGTGACGAGAAAGAAAGAGAATGCGTCTTGATACGTGCGACTTTGAATCGACTTTGACCTCTAGACGGCGTTGGTATGCAGCGCGTCACGTGTCACGTGACGCGTCACGTGGTAGAGTGGGAAAAGCGCGAAGTGGGGGAATAACTGCGCACGCCCACACGCCAGTCTCCCTTCTCCGTCTCCCACTGCGCAGCACGGCGAAGCGGGAGAGACATCTCTTTTTCTCTCTCTTTTTGAACATATTTTCGAAAAATCGTTTTTTTGATCAAGAGTATGTGCGTTACAATGTGTCATCTACATGTGTGTGTAAAAATATTTTAATAATAACATATATATTTATAAATTAAAGAAAAAATGCGCGATTAAGCAGTAATTTTATCGATAGTCGAAAAAAAATTTGTCATTTTAGTTTGCGAAATGCACCTCATCCGAAATGTACGCAAGTATTATGTATAATTATATTTATAATTACATTTGAAGTAAGCCGGCCACACACACACACAAAGGTATCTTACTAGCGCCACGTGGTGGCCTACGTCATCCGCATTATTTGCATCGCAGTTTAGGTTAGGTTAGGAGTCCTCGAGATACCTGCTTGAATATAAAAATTATAAAAAATGTCGAAATCAGGGGGAAGAAAAATGATTAAGAAACTGACCGAGAAGGTTGATCATTCGTCCAAATTACGCACAAATGTTCTCGCAGGTATGGCGTCATCCGCACCGCCTCTTGGATCTCAGCTCGGACAGGTTAGACATTAGCATTTTCTATATCTATAATAAAAACAAATTTATTACAGAGAAGGAACAAAATAAAAAAAATTGCAACTTCAATAAGAATTTAAACAAGAGCATAATTCTAAATTGCACATAGGTCCATTAAAAAAAACCTTTGACGATACCAATATTTTGTTGCGGAAAACATGAATCAATAGAATTGTTTTTTATTATGGAAATTTGTCATTCATTTTTGCAAGTTTATTATATTTGTCTATTTATTATATATATTATTTCAATAATTTAATTATAATTTTTCACTATTATCTGTAACGATTACCTTAATTTTCAGCATATGATAGTAATTTGTATCTTGTTCTCAATTCTAGAGAAATATCAACATTGCAAATTTTTGCAAAGACTTCAACCAGAGGACAATCAATATGAAGGAAGGTATCCCTTTGCCATGTCGTGTGAAAGTGCATTCGGACAGATCATATAATTTAGTGATTCACAATCCACCTGCAACATATTACTTAAAACAAGCAGCTGGGATACAAACAGGAAGAATGAAGAAGGGTACAGATTTCATCCATTGACATTATCATTCTGTTGATTTCAAATTTATCGTTTAATTTTATAAAAATAAGGCGACAAGTAATTCCTTTATATTTTAATGAAGAAAAATGCAAAGACATTTTAAATATTGAAAAATAAATAGTTATATATACTATATATAATCAGAAATAAAATGATTTATATATATAATAATAATAAAATCCATAAATAATTTCTTTTTTTCACAGGTGAAGTGGCTGGTAAGATAACTCTGAAACATTTGTATGAAATTGCTAAGATCAAGTCAGAAGATCCTCCTCTGGCATTACTCTCCTTGAAGGACATCTGTAATATGATGGTTGGAATTGCACGTTCATGTGGCATTGAGATTGTGCGTGAGATAGATCCAGAAGAATATAAAGAATTCCTGAAGAACAGGAAAGAGGAGATTGCAAAGTATCGTGAAGAATTACGATTAGCTAAAGAGAGTAAGATGCTCAGAACAAATTAATTTGTAATTTTATAGTAGTGTACTTATAAATTTCTGTTAACTATAATTTTACTGTACATACATTTAATAAAATTTACATACAGTTATACATTAATAAAATATTTCTTGCTTCCAATTTACTTAAAAAATTATCTGTCTTAATAAAAATGTTTTTAATCAGAAATTAATTATAGTAAAGTACTTCTTGCATCTTACAAATTAATTATATAAAGATTTATCTATGAATTATTTATCGAAAAATATGAAACTCTTATTCAACAAATGCATGTTTATTTTAAACAAACCGATTTCATGACTTGAATTTATGAGGTAGATTGAAAGATGACTAACAAGTGAAAAGAGAGCAAACAAAATATATACTTTACAAATTACAAAGTATCAAACCATATTTTTTTGTACCACCATTTACCACTTATCTACAAGTAAAAATCTATATATATATAAATTATTTTTGTGTGTGTGTGTGTGTGTGTGTAAAATATATATATATTCATATTAATATATTTAAAACTTTTTTGAGACACCTTCTAAGTATTAAATATTAAAAAATATATTTGGCCTAATGAAAGCTTTCATTAAAACGAATAAAAGTCCTTTGTCCACAAGGAATCCACCGACTTGTTCAGGTCGAAGTTTCTCAAGCCCAAGTAAACATAATAGACTGACAATTTAAAGAGTGCCCAGCGCTCTGCACAGGATACCCAGCACTTGTCCCACATATTTGAACAATGCTTAAATTTCTCGCCGTATACGGAACGCACGCAGCACTTGGACATCTCCATCATAGCCGACATTCTGGATTGAGTGCGTAGCGAGTACTCGATGCCGCGCATCAGATCGTTGGTCTTAAGAATCAGCAGCATCTGCCGATTAACACGATCTAGGACGGTGCTGATCTGTGGCAACAAGTTCGGAATTTCCCGTTGAAACATTTCCCTCTCCTGGATGTTATACCGAGTTTTACGCACACCAGACATGATCGTATCCCACGTCCTGCCCGATACCATGCATGACAGCAGACCATAGTAATCGGCGACACCGAGTCTCGTGCACTGCTCCTTCATAGCAACCCGATCCCCGTCGAGGATCGCCAGCCACAACTTGGAATAGTCCCAGCGAAACTGATCGGACAGATTAGCGTACAAACCGTGATCCAACAGCACAATCTCTGCCTGGGAATCACGATTGCGAACCAGAATGTTACCTGGATGTGGATCCGAGTGTACGAAGCCCTCGATGAAGATCATGTGACTGTACAAACGACCCAGCTTGCTGGTGACTTCGTATGGATTCAGCTGATGGGCACGCATGTACTCGAGATCGTTCACCTGTCCGCCATCTAGGAACTCCATCGTGAGAACTCGCGACGACGACACATCCCAGTATATTTTGGGCACTCTCAACCAGCGATAATTGACGAAGAGTCTCTGTACTTTCTCAGCGTTTTTGCCCTCGCGAGTGAAATCCAGTTCCTGCGGAATATTCTTCTTCGTTTCATCGACTAGCCAGTCGAACTTAAAGTCCGGAAACACTAGTGACGTGAGCTTCACCAGGGCCGACATAGTCTTGATGTCGACATACGAGTTGCTCTTGACAGCGCGATGCTGTACTTTAACAGCCACCACGTCGCCGTTCCTGAGCACAGCTCTGTGCACTTGAGCAAGACTGGCGGTGCCCAGAGGTTCCGGATCTATGCTCTGAAATATTTCGTACGGATCTCGCTTAAAGTCCTCCTTGATCACAGTGAGGACGTCCTTGAACGAGGACTGGGGCGCTGAACTGTGCAGGACTCGCATGGTATGCACGTACTCCGGGGGCAGCAAGTATTCCAACGCTCCAATATGCTGACCCACTTTGATGTAGACCCCCTTGTTGGTGCAACAGAGTTTCAGCAGCCTCTGCGCTCCATACTTGTGAACGTTTGATTTTATCTGCAAATACTCTGTCGACGTCTTGTTTAATTTACTGCTATACAATTCCTTCTTGTAATGACGACCTATGTCAAACACTGCAAGAGCGGCCCGGCTCAGCCGTACGATTCCAATGGCTCCGATGTCATACTCGTTTGCTCTGAGAGATGCCAGAGTGCCAAACCCAATTGTTCCAACAGCAGCGATCTTGAACAGCCTCCTGGATGTAAACATTGCCATTCGATGGACATCTGCGACAGAGACTTATATTAATTCTCAATTATTTGAGATGCATTGTAATAACTTTAATTGAAAAGAGACACAATATAAACTACCTATAATATGTATATGCTTTCTTAAAACATGTTAAAAGTTAGTAAAATGTAAATACATTAAAATTAATAAAATGTAAAATTGCATAAAATTACATAATATACCGACCTGATAAAAAGCATTAACGATTAAAAATCCGCGCAAATTCGCGCGATAGGAGAACGACGTTGTGGTTTTGAGTTGTTGATCGAAGAATCCAATTGAAGAGCCTTTGGGAAGCGATCGGCTAACCTCATTGTAGCTTACATATGCTTCGAGTGAGTCTCATTAATGATTCCATTTACTTTGCGCAACTTAGGTCGATGCCTTGAGCGAATGACACTTCTACGATCTGTCACTTTTTATCAGGTCAATCGCGTCTTACGTTCCTCTTCAAGTTCGACCACGTGAATGAAACGTGTCAGGCTGCTTGGTAATCGCAGATAATCAGCTGTGTACACGGATTAACCTATTCAGGAATCTTGCAAGTTGTAAGATTTTGGAATGTGTATAATATAAGCATATAGGATTCCAGATTCAATAAAAAATACATACTTTGTAATATCGAAAAATTGTTTATATATAATTTTTTAATTATGTTTTGCATCAGAACTTAAGTTATTCTTTTTAAAAATAGAAATATAATTTTTTCAATATATATGCATATAAAATTTGATTTTTTTCATTTTGTGTACTAGTTATATAAAAGTTATATATTTGTGTACTAGTTACTAAAAAGTTATATAATTGTTAAAAAGTGAACAAAGATAAAATGTGAAATGTATTTCATATTTTATAATTTGATATAATTTAATAAAAAATTATATTCATATAGAGAAATATAAGTACATTTAAAAAACTCTATTTTGCTAGGTACAGGTTTTACTAAAAAAAAAAAAAACTTGAAAAGTATATTACAAAGTGCAATTTTTCATACATAATAAAATAGAAGAAGTAGCAACAGTTTGGAAGACTTACATGTTTTATACAATCAAGTGTGTTGTGTAGAAAAAAATGTTTAACATCGCTGTTTTCATAATAATTACAATTTATAATACATATTAAGTACAAACAATAAGTTATGCAAAGGATATCTTACATTACTTTAAAGTAGTTTATCACAATGATATGTACATTATTATCATCAAGTTAACAATCATTTAATGATCGTCCCTCCTGCAGCCTGTTCCATCAACAGTTTCTAAAACAAAAAGAATTGCATAACGATTAATATCAATGCAAGATAAAAAAATATATATATATTTTATACATATATTTATATATTTTACTCCTTTTCAAGAAATGTATCTCAAAACAATCTGCTCTCATTACCTTGATTTGCGGTATAGCGTTCGTCAATTGCAAGCCCAAACTTCTAGCTAGAACAACGGGAGCCGCAGTGCCTCGATAAAGTCGATGAAGCGCATCGATTACGAGCATCGTCGGCACATTGTGACGCTGCCTCAGCGTCTCGTATCGTCGCAAATATTGCATATCGTTGAGGTGACTACCGTTCACAGTGGCCTCAGCGAGGATCTGCGTTAGCACCGTCACGTCGCCGAAACCCAGATTCACACCTTGACCGGCCAAGGGATGGACTCTGTGTGCCGCGTCCCTTAAACAGGATGAATATTAACTAGAAAATAAATTAAATATTAAACTCTCGCTCTAGATGATGAAATCTCTCTAATAAATTTTAATACATCAATCTTAATTTGAAGATTTTTGTTATATGTTGTAGCTTATATCCTGCTAAGATGTAATAATCTCAAAGCTAAATATTAGATAATTACTGAGTACAGCCAATCAAACAACTCGCAGAGCTCAAATTTTTCGTATTTAAACTAGCTGTAGAAACTATCTATTATTCAGCTTTGAGCATATTACACTTTTCGTTAAGCAGATTATAAGTTACAACATATAAGAATATCAGCTAGTTTTACGAAACTTTAATTTTATAATTAGTACGGGATTTTTAAACCTATATAATATAGGTAATATAAAATCTTGGATGACATTGAATCCTGCTTGCTTTTCGTTCAGATTTGATTCACATCTCCATATATTCCTGATCCTTTCGGCTGCATTTCTTCATCTCTTAGGATCGGAAATTTTCTTACCCGATCAACACTGTGCCCGGCTGAACGTAAGATGCGGCGTGGCCGAAACCTAAGGGAAACGCCGCCCGGGATCCTTCGACGATCGTCGTTACAGAGGGTTGCAATTGCCTGGACACGCCGGTCTGCAGGGACAGGTTTCCGAGCAGCTGACGAAGCGCGTGCATTCCGCTCTCGACGACGCCGTTCTTCGGATAGACTCGCCACAACGCCTCGTTTATACTGTCGACGAATTCTTCCTCCGGGACTTTCAGCAACTCCTTCGCTCTCTCGGTCGTCACGGACCATACAAGCGAACTGAGAGATTCTGTCAACTGTCCAAGTATTCTTAAGATCATTATCGCAGCTGAATCAAGAGTATCAATTTTTCTCATCATAAATTATATATTATTCATATTATTAAATTATTAAATAATTATTAATAATTAAATAATAATATAATAATTAAATTGTTAAATATTATATTATTTGATATAATATATATATTATATTAAATTATATATAATATTATATCATTATATTATATACACTAAATTATTATTTAAGGAAGAACAGTTAAAATAACAGAATAATTACCGCGAAAAGGATGCATTTTTCTCATAATAACTTTCTTGGATTTTCTTATTTTTCTAGCTCTCGAGAAAGCAAGCATGCTATATTTGATTTATTACATCATAAAATATAATTTCTGGCATAGTTTCTAAAAGATCTACATTTACCACCACATTTCATCACCAATTACATATTCACACATGTCATCTCCGATTACATATTCTATTCGCGAAATTCTGTTAAGTAAGAGAACAAATTACCGGTAACAATGCGATGGGACCTGTTGGGAGAAACCTCTGCCAAGCGACGATGTTCTCCGTGGGCTGAAATTGAAGAGTTTTAATTTCCAGTGATTCAAATGTCACTAGTAGAGGTCACTTTGTCCTTCGAGCATAACAGCATAATGTGTCAAAATTGTTCAATATAATATTAAGTGCGTACTATGCGTAACTATTAAAATTAATGCTTAAAAACAATTTTCGACACATTATGCTATTATGCTCAAAGCATAAAGTGCCTATCCCTAGTCATTAGATATTAAATCACGATCAATCTTTGAGAAGAATATAATTACCTCGGACAATTTGAGAGTCGCAACGATGCCTAATTGATTATACTGCCAGTTCGGATAGAGGACACCCATCGTCTTTCGCACTATCGAATTAGCACCATCGGCACCCACCTGAAACAAAACGTTAAAATGCTTTATTTATACTAATTGACTATGATCTTAATGATAAATCACATCTTAAAATTAAACGACGTTGTAAAGAAATTTATCGAGCTAATGCGAAGATGGTGCATGTTATGAGAGTTGAGTGTTTGAAAATTAAGCATGTACGAAAATAGAAATCAGATCTGGTCCAGATCTTCTGCAAAAATATCAGAGATGATATGCGTCGAATAAAATTAACGTAAATGCCACTCTGTTTACACACACAAGTCTACGGATGTTATCGGAGATTACATCTTGATATGACATTTATTAATAACAAAATATACATATATCTTAGAGAAAATTCTATTTATATAAAAATGATGTAATATTATAATTAAGAAGTATATTATTATAAATGCATAATTTAATTTAATACGATTAATTATTACTTAATTTAACAATTAAATTATAATTATATAAAAAGTATATCTTTTAATATCATTGAAATAATGTAAAAGCATTATCTTTGTTGGATTGTTAATCATTTTTCTATAAAAAAATCGTGTATAATATATACTTATTATTAAAATAATATAAAATCGTTATCTCTATTTTTCTCTAGATCTTCTCTTCTTTAATTTTTCTTACAAATTAAAAGTTCTCAGCTTCGTCATTCAATTACAACAAGAAAATTGTTAAAGTATATTTTTTCGTACCTTTCATTCAATTAGAAATCTTTATAAAAGGAAATACACGCGGATGACGTCATTATTAATTGACAAACTAAATGCATTCCGCACAATCCGCTCTATGTATTTATTCGTGGAATGACCATGGAAGCAAATTGATAAAGCAATCGTTTCCGACAGGATTCCGCAAAAAAAGAATTTGCGGTCGAGAATTTTCTTCCTTCCTATCTTCGCTACTGAAAGAACGTGGAGTGAGAGAAACGCGAGATTAATGGACGCTAAATATATAACATGTGTTTTATAAACACATGTAGGCATACTGTGGGATATACAGAGAGCCAGAAGAGCAGACAGCTAAGTGCTCAGTATTAACGAGCAAGAGCGCGCGGCAAGAAGTCATCAATTTGATGTCTAGGAAATTGATTGAGATTTAAGAATCGTCATCACGCATTGTCAACATTTGACTGAGAAAAAAAATAACTTCTTACGACACGTTTATTATCGAAATCGACCTTATTTGTTCATGAAGGATGGTGTCGAACTGATTTAGTGAAGAAATTTTCCACCATGTGATTATAATACATATTTATTTGATTTGGATACCCTCTTTTTTAAAGCGCAAGTTCAAAGAAAAATGCGACTATGTCGAATCCCAGCAAGAGCTTCTTCAAGAGACTTTCCAGCAATCATCTGACAGGAGAGACGTCAAGGATGGAGACCAACAACGACAAGGTCAGTGAAAAAAAAAAAGATCATCGATGATCTTTGACTTTACGATACCTCATTTATATTGCATTTAGAAAGAAAACGAGGATATTTGGATGAACAAGATAGAAAATGATGATAGAAATTACATCTCCTCCGAGGATAGCGCGGAATCTGTCACATGTCACATACAATCCGCACCGATGACGCAGGAACAACCCTGGAGCAAGAAAGAAGTCGTGATAGCGTTATCGAATCTTCCGGGAGGCGAAGTCGCTCTGTCTCTGATTCCAGGTCTTCACGACGAGGCCCTCCAAAGGGTTCTCGAAGAATTTCGAAGCTTGACTCTCAACGAAAATGCGGACTGCAAGCATCGCAACTTCTCGGTGTCCACGTTCGCGGATGAGTACGTGGAATGATAATTGCATCTGCAATTTAGCATGTTGCATTAAGAATAAGATAAAATCAAATAAAATGGTAGATAAAAAGGAGGATATGCATTGTCCCGAAAAATTATAATGAGATTTAAGAAGTGAGACAAAATACCAAAATTTTCATTTAGAGACAACAAGCTGTTCACACACCGGTATGTACTTTGAAAAGATTATTTTCGTATAACATACAAGTTAGTTTTTATTTATAATAAAGTACGGAATAAATACTATTATTTTGATATTATGGATATTTTAGATTTTGAATTTATGTATAATAATATGTGTATATTATATTATATATTTACGATGCTTGCCACACCTTTCAAAGTACATGTGTAATTGTGCACAATATAAAATGCGTCAGGCAAATGCATATTTAAATACGTCCTTGCAAAATAAAAAAACTCGTTTCATCAACATTTTATTAATACTTATTAAACGAAGTCATTTCCTGTTTATGCACGATTAATACATACATATATACAATGTATTTTAATTACAACGAAGGATTCTTCGAAAAGCTATTAGATCGATTAATAAAAAGAGGAGAGAAAATCCAAGTTATTTATCGAAATTCACAGTCGAGAGATATTTTTATTACTTGACGACTCATCATAAATAAATTCGAAAACCGGGAAATAATCATAATGACTTAATGATCAGTTATCTATGAGCTACCGCTTCGCTTTTCAATGTTTTACCTTCTGGCCTTCTATATACTTTGCAATCGTATAGTTACATAACAAGCATCGGTTATCCTAGATAGATTTAAAACTTAAAATACACAATCGTTATGCCGATGATCACGCTGAAAATATTTGATTGTTTAAAGAACAATTAAAATATCTTCCCTTGTTGTCTCTAAATGAAAATTGGAGAACATAGTCCCGAAAAAAACGTACTGAATTTTAAGATATGAGACATTGTCCTGAAAAGGATAACACCGATGCTTGTTATACAACTATATGATTGCAAAGTATATAGAAGAATCATTGTAAAGCAAAGCGATTTCTCATAGATAACTGATCATTAAGTCATTGCGATTATTTCCCGGCTTTCGAATTTATTTATGATGAGTTGTCAAGTCATAAAAAATCTCTCGACTTTGAATTTGGATTTTCTCTCCTCTTTTTAGTAATCGATCCAATAGCTTTTCGAAGAATCCTTCGTTATAATTAAAGTACATCGTATATATGTATGTATTAATCGACGCGCGTAAACAGGAAATAACTGTCTGAAACGATTTTTTTTTATTTGGCAAGAACGTATTTAAATATGCATTTGTCTGACGCATTTTATATCGTGCACAATTACACATGTACTTTGAAAGATGTGGCAAGCATATCGTAAATATTATATAATATATATATAATTATAATATATACATATGTTTATATATTATATATATTATATTATATACATAAAATATAATATAATATATATATATACATATTATTATACATATATTAAAAATCTAAAATATCCATAACATGAAAATAATAGTATTTATTCCGTATTTTATTATAAATAAAAACTAACTTTATACTATACGAAAATAATATTTTCAAAGTGCATACCGATGTGTAAACAGTTTATAAAATTTGACAATGTTTTTATGTTGATATGTTGAAAATCATGTCTACTTTATAAAATAAATTTGTAAGATAATAAAATTTTTAATTTTAAGATTCAATATTTTTTACGTGCTTCGTAACTTGACATTGAATATGCTTGTAATGAAGTAATGTGTAATTTAATTTAGAACTTTGTGTGCAGATTTATGCGAAAAGCTCTATTGGCTAGCGAAAACGGAGCAGCGGCCACTGCAACTCCAGGACAACTACTAGCGGGATGGCCAGACACGTGTCTGCTCGTCTCCTGCTGGCTGGGTCACGTGGAGATCGCGAAGGCTTTGTTGGACAAAGGCACACCAGTTTCCACGAGCGACAACGATGGAAGGTATATCATTTGTAATAAAGATACATTGTTACCCAAATTAAAATTAACTGAACTTCCTGATGACCTATCACATCAGCTGTAGTTTATCAAACATCTTGATAAGAACCGACTAATTAATCAATCAAAGCCTACAATCAATTCTTGAGATCAACGATGGAAAGTTTATATCATTTGTGATAGATAGATACATTGCCATCCAAAAATTAAAATTAAAATAACTGAACTTTTTGATGACCCTAAGTCGCCTACCACATCAACTGTAGTTCATCAAACATCTTGATAAGAAGTAACTAATTAATAAATTCAATCAAGCCTATAAACACTAATATCTTCAGAACGTCGTTACACCTGGCAGCGTGTGCCGCATCCGTGAAGATCGTGGAGGAGCTGCTGAAACACGGCGCTGATCCACACGAGTGGGACCTCGCAAAGAAGTACACTCCGTTGCATTGCGCCGCCGCGGCTGGATGCGTTGCTACCGTCAAATGCCTAATCAAGTCGGGCGCAAATTTGGACGCCGGATTATCCGGCAGGAGTCCGCTCCACTACGCCGTGCTGAACAACGCCGGGGATTGCGTCGAGGCTCTACTGCAAGCAGGTGCTTGTCCTAATAATCCGCAGGTGCTTCTTCACCACAACCACAATTTAATTAATTTAGTGGAGAAGTAATAACTACAAAAGAAACCAGAAATCGTTGAAATAAAATTCAAACTCTGCAGAAAACAATTACTTTCCTACCAAAGTAACATTTCGCTGCACAAAGTATCTCTTTGGGATTCTCAAGCTGAGATATCTTCAACAAATTAATTATGATCCATTGGCAGGTTTACACAGAGACACCTCTGCACGTGGCGGTTAGCCTCGGCAACGTCCGTTGCACCAAGTTGCTGTTGAGTTACGGCGCGGACGTGAGAGTACAGCTGGGAGTTGCTAGATCGACGCCTCTACACTTGGCGGCCGAGGAGGGCAGCGCGGAATGCACCAAGTTACTTCTAAACGCTGGTGCGACCTGGGAGGCGAGAAACTCGCGCGGTCAAATGGCGATGCACTTAGCGGCACTCGCGCAATCCGTAGAGACGATAGACGTGTTGATTAGTGTCGGCGCCAAGGTGGACGTAGAGGACAATGAAGGACGCACTCCTTTACACGCCGCGGTCGGGAAGGCTCTAAGAGGCAGCGAGCTGGTCAAGAATTTAATACAGGTTCGTAAATCTGAAAATATCTTTGCTTCACTGAACTTCAGAATAAAATCTCTTTTTAGTTAGAATATTTAACAAAAATTAATCGCGTTATATTTTGAATATTTTTTCCCTAAATTATGTTAATTAAATAATCTTGTTTATGTAATAAAACATTTTAAATAATAATTTTCATTGAATGACAGAATTAATAAAATTCTTTCTTGTTCAAAAGGCAGGTGCACTAGTCAACAAAGCGGACAAGTTTGGTTACACGCCGCTGCACCTCGCGGCCTTGAACGAGAGCTCGCCTACGGTAATGATATTGTTGTCGAAAGGCGCCGATGTGACGGCGCGTACCAATGGCGGCGTCACCGCCCTTAGCTTCATCATACGTCGCACCCCGGAAGTGTTATCGCGATTTGTGGCGCGTCTCGATCAAGCAATCTCGCTGCACGATCACGAACTGGGCGACGTGGACTGCGAGCTGCGGCTGGACTTTCGACCGTTGGTACCGGGCGGTCCCGGCGAGACCGATCTGATGCTGTGCCTGGTGGAGGTCGGTCAGGGTCACATGCTGAAGCATCCGCTGTGCGAGAGCTTTCTCTACCTCAAGTGGCTGCGTATTCGCAAATTCTTCTTGCTCAGTCTCATGTTCCACTCGATCTTCGTCGCCTTCTTCACCGGTTTCGTCTGCGCGACATATTTATGGCACTTAGAACAGCTGAGCCGTATCCTCCTCTGGCCGGTGCTAGGTTTAACCTTCATGTTCGCGAGTAAAGAGATCTTCCAGATGGCCCACGGTATTTGCAATTACGCTAAACGCTGGGAAAACTGGCTGCAGTGGAGCGTGATCATAGCATCCGGCATCATCTTGATTCCGCCAGCGCGTATCTGGCAACATCACATTGCTGCTTTGGGCATCCTGCTGGCCTGGATCGAGCTGATGATTGTAGTCGGTCGTTTTCCTATGTTCGGCATCTACGTACAGATGTTTACCCAAGTGTCTATCAATTTCTTCAAGTTTCTCGCGGCCTACGTCTGCCTCATAATCGGCTTCTCTCTCGGCTTCAGCGTGCTGCACAAAAACTACAAGTCCTTCACCGATCCGCTGATCAGTCTGCTCAAGACGGTGATTATGATGTCCGGTGAGCTGGAATTCGAGGACATTTTCTTCGACGATGACGCGCCGGTTTTGTATCCTGGCACGTCACATCTCATGCTCCTCAGCTTCGTTATCCTGGTGACAGTGATACTGACGAATCTGATGGTCGGCCTGGCTGTGTCGGATATTCAGGAGTTACGCAGATGCGCCGGCCTCGATCGTCTGGTGCGTCGAGCCGAGTTGGTGGCTCACCTTGAAAACATGCTGTTCTCCAAATTGTTAGATCGTGCTCCCGCCTGGAGAATAATACGAGCGTGCAGGAGAAGCGCGCTGTTGCTACATCCGCCGTATCACTGCGCCGTGCACATTCGGCCGAATGATCCGCGAGAGAGGCGTCTGCCCCGGGAAATCGTCCGGGCGGTTTATCGCCTGGTCAGCGAACGAAGAACGCGACGGACGACCTTCCGCGGCGGCGCGCCACCGCGAAACGTCGCCGCGAATGAATCGACGAGTAACGTCGGGCTCGGCAGAAGGTACAGCAACGAAAGTAATCATCAGCAACAGCAGCAGCTGAACGAGCTCGCGGCCGAGCTGAAGATGTACTCGTACAACATCAGCACCAGGCTGGATAGTTTAACGGATAAAGTGGAGAATATCACCCGGGAGTTGGATATGACGGTCCATTTACATTAACATTCTAATGCCTAATCTTTCTGTCTCGTCCAGCATTCGAATGGTTTGAAAGAAGCGAAAAATCGCGAGGGGTTGGTCACTGAGGTAATTTTTCGCACAAGGGCTAAGTAATTCAGCGATAATCCAAAGGAAATCCAAGATAATTTTTAATAATTTTAAATAATATTTAACAGTCTCAGGCATCTTGAATAATCTAATAAGAAATCTAAGTAATCTAAGGATAATATCAAATAATCTGTAGGTAATTCTAGATATTCTTAAGGTAGTTTCTAATAATCTAGAGTAATCTAAGGTAATCTTTAATTTTTGAAGTTAGTGAACATTATTGACGAACTTGTATTTTTACAAGTAATTTTTTACAAGTAACTTTTTGTACACTATAACCACTAGTGACCAACTCCTCGAAAAATCGAGACACAAATTAAATATAACGCATGATCTGTGCTAGAGCAGAGTCTAAAATTAAATAAAAGATTACAAAAGTGTGATCGAGACATCCATCCGAGGCAATTCGAAAAAGGATGTAAATGACTTGAGATGAAAAAAATGTAAATTTTAACAACCTAATCCATATGAAGATCCATTAGAAGAGTTCGTGAATTTAATAAACTGCATATTTCCAGAATTATTTTATATGAATACGTATATTTATCGTAAATCATATTAAAATGTAATATTATTTTTTGTACTTACCAATAATCTAGCTGCGTATCGCTTTCCTGATTGCAACTGTACAGAAGCGAATTCGGCCGATGTCTTCGGGAGTTTTACCTCGGTGATCTTAGACTCGTGAACCACAGTCACATTTTCCTTCTGAGAAAGCTGCTTGTTGATCGCGTGTAACAGCAGATCGTTTTCAATTATGTATGCCAGTTCCTCAGACAAGTGGTCCTCGTTAAATGTTATCATAGCATCGGAACAGGCGTCCCAAATCTACTGAAAAAGTTGTACTTAAATTTGTACTTAAAAAGTTGTACCTAAATTTGATAGAATTTTTAATTTTTTGTAATATGTAGAATAGAGCAAGAAAATAATAAAACAAAAATAAAAATTACTTTTAAACAGAATATAAAATAAGTGTTCTTCCCAATCATTGTTAGCAAAAAAGATACATAAAGAAATCATATAGTGAGATTGTTACCAATACTTAAAATTAATTGCAAACTAATCTAGCACAATAATATTATATTATTAACACAAACTCAATGAGTTTAATAATTTAATCATTTAAAAATATAGAGGAAAAAAGAACTACCTGCATTTTTCGTACTGGACAATAGCGAACTGCTTCTATGTGTTTCCATGCTCCTAAGCTGGATAATAAAGTACGAGTTTGCTGATTCAAAGCGACAACTCGATTGGAATATTGCTCCTGTGGTGTATATTTCTGTTTAGCACTACCCTCCAATAACAAGACCTTCTTACCTTCCAGTATTCGATTGTTCCCTGAAATAAATAAATATAGGTAAATATGCAGTAGATACAATTATAATTTTATTAATTGTAAATAATTTTTTTAACAGTTTCAGAATATTATAATTTCTTTCTTTCTCTCATTAGGTTCTTTCATAGCTGAACTAGCTACACTAGTTCAAAGTTTATTTCTTTTCTTCCAATGTGAAATAAAAAAATCTGAATTAGTACAGCCAATTCAGTTATAAAGAACAAATCTTTTTTGATAACAATATGACAATTAAAAAATAAAAAATGAAAAATAAATTAAAATAAAAATATTTTCCTTCTTTCTCTCATTACGTCTGTTTCTTTCATAGCTGAACTAACTACACTAGTTCAGAGTTTATTTCTTTTCTTCCAATGTGAAGTAAAAAACTGAATTAGTATAGCCAATTCAGCTATAAAGAACAAATCTCCTTTGATAACAATATGACAATAACTAAAAATAAAAAATTAAATTAAATAAATTAATATAATATTTGCTTTCTTTCTTTCTCTCATTAAGTCTGTTTCTTTCATAGCTGAACTAATAGCTATACTAATTTTATTTCTTTTTTCCAATGTGAAGTAAAAAACTGAATTAAGTAGTACAATTCAGCTATAAAGGACAAATCTTTTTTGATAACAATATGTCAATAATTAATAAATAAAAAATGAAAAATAAATTAAAATAAAAATATTTTCTTTCTTTCTCTCATTAGGTCTGCTTCTTTCATAGCTGAACTAATAGCTATACTAATTTTATTTCTTTTTCTCCAATGTGAAGTAAGAAACTGAATTAAGTAGTACAATAATTCAGCTGTAAAGAACAAATCTTTTTTGATAACAATATGTCAATAATTAATAAATAAAAAATGAAAATATTTTCTTTCTTTCTCTCATTAGGTCTGCTTCTTTCATAGCTGAACTAATAGCTATACTAATTTTATTTCTTTTTCTCCAATATGAAGTAAGAAACTGAATTAGGTAGTACAATAATTCAGCTGTAAAGAACAAATCTTTTTTGATAAAACAATATGTCAATAATTAAAAAATAAAAATTCGAAAAAAGTTGACAATAAAAAAAACTAACCTATCGCACACGCTAACGTCGCGCCGATCATGCCGCCTCCGGTGACGATGACGTCATATTTCTCTTCATCTGTCACGGCGGTCGAGTAGCTTTTCCTCGACGCCGCGCTCGCACTAGGAATAGCATATTTGCACTTTTGCGAGAACAAAGTCAAAAAACGGTATGACACTCCCGCTTCTCCGAGAGCCGCCATTTTGCATCCATCGCGTTGGGTTGCGTTCGAAAATTCATTTCTTGGAGTGGAATCACTTCTCTCGATTGACCAATCAGAACGAAGGACGGAGAAAATTCCTTCGTCCTGATTGATCGAGCGAACGCGACTCTTCCGAGGAGCACATTTTGGAACGTAACTCGCTGCATTCCTCCTCTTGTGATTTAGGACGGTTAGGACTTTGGGACAAATGTTGAATTATCGCACGGTATCGTATAATTTTTTTCTTTACATAAAAGCTCGAATTTTATGACGTATTAGATATACTGAATTTTATGTATTTCCTCTTTGAAATATAGAAATTGAATAAATAAAACAGATATATAAATTTTATACTTCGAAATATATAAGATATGTGAGTTATATATATATATATATATATATATATACACAATACCCAGGTAGCAAGCTGACGTCAAAATAACGTCATTTTGACGTTTAATATATATATATAAAGCAGAATGGGTTACAAAATATTGCAATGCCTAGTAAATTAAAAAAAAAAAAAAAAAAAAATATATATATATATATATATTTTTTTTTTTTAATTTACTAGGCATTGCAATATTTTGTAACCCATTCTGCTTTTTCGATATTCAATCGGGATATTATATTTATATACATTCAATTAAGTATCTTGATGTCAAAATAATCGCACGCATATATATATATTATATAGACGTGAACATGCACATTCGTCACTTCCGGTTCCGTTAAAACCCCACTGTTCCCCAATTCTAAAATTCCTTACAAAAATGCGAATCAACGCAAAATATCAAATAATTTTTATTTACTGTAATCAATATATAATTTATTATTATATAATTGTTTTTGCTTGTGCAATATTTTTCTTAATTAATAATAAATTTTTATTTTTATCAGCTTCTATCACGTTTAATTCAGCGGCAACGCAGCTTCAAACAGGTAATAATGTTGTCAATATATATATTTTATAATTAAGATAATTTTCTTTTGCAATTTAATTTAAGATTATGTTAATGTAAAACTAATAAAAAAATTAATATTGAAATACGTTTTCTACACAATCATCTTCAATACTATGATATAAAAATTAATTCGTTTATAATAATATTAATATATTAAGGTTATAAAAATGAAGGAAAAATGATTTAAGTGTTCATGATTTTATAGATTCACCTTGAACTCTGAAGCAGCAGACGAATCGATCGCATTTGTGTTTATTTCTGCACGCCATTCATTTCTTGGTGGGGACTGGTTGTGCAGGGCGTTAGCACTTCCTCATGGACTTCACCATGGCGACGGCGACGCCGGGCCAGGTTGCATTGATTCTCCTGGGCAAGTCGGCAGGTAGTAATGGCCGTCGAAGTGGCCAGTACGCTATTATTGTCTTCGATGCTCGGATCCTCTCGATATTCTGGTCGCCAATCCTCTGCCTTCAGGATCGAATTGGAGTCGCGTTCAGCTGATGATTCGAATGATAATTAAGAAAGGTGATTAATGAAGACCTTCATCAGAGAGAATACCAGATAACAGATCTCTAGAATCGTTGAGATTATATGCATTTTTTATGGGAAAAAAGATCTTTGATTTTTCAAAAGAACAATTATTTGTACATAATATTTATATTCATAAAAGATATATCTTTAAATAGGAAGAGAACGAAAAGAGATAATAAGAGATGGATGTATATTAAAATATATACTAGATACACTCAATCTGCAAATTTAATTGTTATACTTTAATTGGAAAAGTTAGTATTCACTATATATTCTTTGGTTTATATTTATTATTTCTGAGTTTTTAGACATTCTATACGTTTGCGTGTCTTACTGTGCTTGATTATGACTCATAATTTATGAGTAATAACTAATAACTATATGACTTTCTTGTAAAATTCCATTATATGATTCTATCTACTCAATATTGGTTAAATTATTTAAACTATAAATCACACATCATAAACTACGACGTTATTTATTATTTTTTATTTGCTATATATTAATTTTATTATTCTTTTATTATTATCAAGATAAATAGTTGAATCAATTTGTGAAAAGAAACAAATATAGCTACAAGAACAGCTAGATTTATTAGTGTAACTCGACTAGAATATGTATTTATATCATATAAAACTATAAAAATACAAATTTCTTTTTATTTACTAATATTAATTTAATTAATTAATTTTTTATTAAAAATATTTACAACATTTTTAGTCAAATTTATGAAAAATCACAGACAGTACATATTATAAAGATATTATTCTGATTAATACATTCAAGAGAAAACTCTCTATTATTTATATATACTCTATATTATTATATATATTAATCATCATATTGTAAACAAATTAGTAAACCATGTCGGAGCATAGAGGCACGTCCTTCTTCCACTCGTGCGTAAAGGTGCCGGTGGATCCTTGCAGCAGGCAACCAATTCCTTCATATGAACGTCCACGACTGTCGTCGGCGAGGAGTCGAAGATCGGAGAAGGTAAAAAAGATCAATTTTGCGGAGAGTCAACCGACCGCCGAGGACTCGGAATCGTCATGCGACACCCTGGAGAACTTTCTGGAGTTTATGAAGAGCATACCGGACTATGGGCAGGTACACCACCTGTCGAACGAGCAGTTCAAGCAGAGGGTTGAGTATCTGCGGAGGAAGCAACGGCTGCTTCTTCAGAATTTGAGAAATTCAATGGACGATTTGGCGGAAAAGCCATCGTCGCTATTGTCGACTACGAGAAACGAGAACTCGAAGTCGAAGGACGTGAAGCCGGACATCGTCAACGAACTCAAGTTGAATGGCAAAAATGCTATTTTGAAGAGTCCAGGACCAGCAGTCCGATACTTTTTCCATCCGGCACTTTCGCCGGGCTTGCCGAGGATCAAGATCTGCTAACATACAGGTGATGCATTAATTATCGGATAAAATGCAAAGATTTTTCCGCTATTATTTTATTTTATTTTGATTGTCGGATTATTTGATTACTAAATTCTCACCAAATACTCAGGAAGCTCAATATTGATTTTAGATGCAGGGACAAAGACAAGGAGACGAAAACGATGCGTAACAAAGAAATACTCGCGGCTAATAAGAGTTGGAGTACTTGGAGCGGATCAAAGAGTGACGACAGCGTAGACAGCGATGGCGAAGACAGCATCGAGACGAAGAGCTTGCCGCCTAATAGTTCAAAAGAGTGGCACCCTACGGTGCCGAAACCATTTAGTTTTACCCTGAGGTGCATATTCAAATAGCGAAGTCTACCATGAGATATCTCAAAATAATTGTATTAAAGAATGACTGTTTAACAAACGCAACTTTTAAATATTTAATTTTCTTGATATTAACATACACATATTATAATTAATATTTATTGCTGTTAAATGTTCTCTTCATATTTTTCTATTTTATTTGCATATATTTTTGTGTTTATTCCCCGCATGTATATATGTACATTTATACAAATTAACATGAAAAATCTGATTCTGTTTCAGAGAAGAAGCGGAAAAGTTTATGACGGAAATGGAAGCGACCGACCGCATGAATCAGGATGATACGAAGAAAAGTCCTTCGAAGAAACGACGAATCAGACCGATTCCTATTACGTCTAAAATACCACTTTATGACAAACTGATGGCCGAGAAAGAGGAAAGGTCAGCCATATTTAATATTATAATTTTGAATGAAAATGAATTAATACCTAATGCTTGATGTTAATGAAAATAATATTTGGTTGATGATAATTAATGTCTTTTTGATATCCAGGAGTCGCATTGTGCGCGAGGAGAGCGCCCTGAATCTGTTGTCGCAGGTACGACCTTTCAAGCTGGAGTGCGATCGTCGTGCCTGGCGATCCCTGGCGAGGTCCAGTCCCGAGCTCCGCTCGAGCAAAAGCAGTTCTTCGCGCTTCAAGGCCAAACCAGTGCCGAGAAACTTGTTCGGCACCGAGGTTTACGATCGCATGCTCGAGGACGAGTATTACAGGTCGGTTTCAATCGCTTCGCTGAATTTCCTTTTTTCTATTCAGGAATGAAACAAAGGATATTTGTACTCTCCTTATTTATGTTGCATTTCGCGATTTTCTCTCCCTGTCTCATTCTTCTTTGATGTTATAAACTCGTGATAAAGAGAACGAAATCACACTTATCTATTTGAATAAAATGTCCGAAAATTCTCCAGACAGCTGAAGAAGAGGGTGAGGGCTGCCGAACTGCTGAAGTCCTCTTCCTTGCCGCCGTCGATGGCGAGACGCGAGCGCGTTAAATCCGTGTGTGCATCCTTGCAGGACATATCATCCACCAAGGACGACGATGACTCTGTCATTCCGACGACGACGCCATCGGACAGAACCAGATCCGCGATGACGTCTATAATGTCCTCGCGCGGAAACAACCTGGCCGCGATCCTGAGATGTCAGGCTTCACGGTATGATCTGTTCAGTATAGAGAGAAAAAATACATTATAGGATTAATACTAGATGAAGAGATATCGATGAATTAATTTTAGGACATTGTGGGAAATTTTTTTAACGAAAAAAATGGTTATTTTTCGTTTTTCGGGGTATCAAAAATATTTTAATTGTAAGCAATTATAGATATATCGTGATTTTTATAATTTACATTTTCGGAGTACGATTAAATACGGAAATATTTCATTATTTATTAAATTAAATATTAAATTTTTAATAGATTTTATTTGGCAAAGAACCTAATTTTAATTTAAGAATAATCAAGGAAATAACATTATAATAACATTAAGAAAAATAATATTTATAAAAACAAAATAACTATCTAAAAAGGAGAATTGCTGATAAACGGAGTTTTAATTCTGCATACAAAGAACGGAGATAGATATTATTTTTGACATGACAGAGACACAGAAATTTTTCATACGATAAAATTTCCTTTGAATGTATCAGTTTAATTTTTCAAGGACGCATTTTCGAATACCGATCGAATATTTCTAATTGCTCCAATTAGAGGGGAATTCACACGCGTAAATGACGATCGCAAACTCGTCGCAGAGAGAAACTGGAGCACGAGATACGGGAACGAATGGAGGAGAAACGGCGGGAGCAGATACTGAAGTTCCGGGAGGCGCTGATCGGTCGGAAACCCGCTTGGAGAGCCTTGAGATCAGCCGCGAGGTACGCAAAATTATATCTATAGATATAATCGAATAAGTCCTTCGGATTCGGACATTGATGGTGCAATGTCGCATAAACAAGGCACGAACACGACAGGGACCTGAATATACGGACGTCTCTTCGTCGCGATGAGGCGCGGGAGCAGGCCGAACGTCATCGTCTGCAGATGGAAATGATGCTGGACCGCGTGACGCAAATACCGACCCTGTTTGAACGGCATTCTCAGGTATGATGAGCTTTTTACAAACGTCATCGTGCGTAATTTTACTTCCCGGATCGAGGAAATAAATAAAACATTCATTAAGTATACATTCTTTTCTTTGGCAAGGAGACACATTTTACGTAGGCAGTGTTTTATTTGTTTATCTTACGCGAGTTAACATATTCTATTTAGATGAGAATAATACTAGTATATTATTAATTAACTTTGTTATTATAATTTATGTAATATAAAATATGTATACATATGTATACATTATTAATTTATACGTGCAATTGATAACGAAAAATGATAAAAATTAATAATAATTTAATTGTAAATGAAAAATACTTAGATTCTTTAGATTATATTTTAAAGAAGCATCGTGTAAACTACGCTTTATGCGATAAATTTTGCAGAGCTTCCAGTCACTTGCGATGACACAGCAATCGGAAACTTTTCCACAGAGCATCAATGTTCGCAAGAAGAAGAAGAAGAAAAAGCAGCAACAGCCGCTGAAGAGGCCCACGTCGAGCAGTCTAGATTCGTACATGAGTTTTGTCAGCAACTACAGACCGAATTCAGGATCATTGACCAGCTCTTCCGGAACTCTAATTTCTTCGAGCCAATCGTCGCGCGATTCCTCTGATAAGTCAGCGGCTAAGTCAGAGAACTCGAAGAGGAAGGTCGATCGTGGTCCGCTGAAGGTGTCGATCAACGAAACGGCAGAACTGATCGAGGATCGTAACGAGAAGTTGACGAGCAGCGACGAACGATCTCGTAGTGAAGAACACGAGGATGCGTTGTAAAACGACAACACGCAACGTCATCGTCGAACAGTGAATCAAATTGATATCTTTAATTCTTCTACAGGTATTCTGAGAATTTCAGATTTATATACATTTGCTCGATTATGATATATACAGTTGATAATATATAAACATTATATGATAAAATTATATCTTTAAATTGGAAATTCAAAGCTTAAAATTAACAGAGGAAGATAATTATTTATCTATTCTGAATATATGCTTATAATCTATATTTTGCATTATAGTTATTAAATTGCATCTCCTTTAAAATATATATCTTTTTATTTATAATTATTTATAAAAATTTATAAATTATTAATAATTTATAATTAAAACGTCTGATATTCTCGGGAAAAGCAAAATGTTCTAAATCGAACGAAAAATTATTTCAGAATAAAAATGATAATAAATTCCGAGAAATTTAATATTATCGTGGTTGACAGAAGTGCATTTCATAAGACTTAAGCAACGCATTTTTTTATGAAAAAATGATATATTATACAGAGTACAAATAACATGACATATTAATACATAAGTCGTAAATATAAGCATATCAGTTCAGCACGAAAAATAAAATGTCTATTACTCTCTCTCATTCTTTTTTCATCTAAGACACATTCATCACTCAAAAAGCATATCTTCTTATATCTATCTTATATTAATAGCATATCTATTTAACTTAAAAAATCTTTCAAGTTTTAACTAAAATAAAATTGCATCGATAGTTAGATAATCTGCTTAAAGCTAATGAAAAATAATTTAAAAAATGCAATTAATGAAAATATATTAGTAAAAAATATATATTTTTATTATTTAAAAAAATTCGTCAATATAAATGTTTTATATTTTATAAACATTAGATCATTACTTTCTCAAACATAAAAGTTTCATTCTTTACTCGCCGTTGCAATTTTATTCGTCTTCTAGCAACGTTGTTTCAAAATTAATCTTATCTATTCGTATTATTATCTCGCAAAGTTTCAATTCTCGTTTTCGTGATGATTAAAAGAGTTATTATATTTCACGCACGAGGTGAATCTGAAATGTAAAACGAAAGACGTGTTTTTTTCGGATGAAAATCCATGTCTAATATGCATAATCTCTTGGAATGGATTTCGACAAAATCACGATCGATCTTAGTCCGTCATCGAGTCCAGGATCCAGTCCACGTAATGAGCGACACTTGTGTAGACTCCAGGGATGCCCGCGGTACCGCACTCCTTCACCCCGTAACTGACCACGCCGTATTGAACGATGCGAGCGTTGCCATTGTATATACCCAGAGCTTGCAGGGGTCCGCCGCTGTCCCCGAAGCAGGAATCCACGTCACGTAGACCTCCGGCGCACAATTGCTTGTGCCAAATCTGCGTCGAGCGCCTGTACGCCTCTTTGCACTGCTCGTTGGTCACCACTGGCAGCTTCGCCTGGAGAAGGTCCTGGCTACGTGGACCCGCTTCCGTCGCACCCCAGCCTGTCACTATCGCCTGTCGATCAGGAATGAGAAGATTCGAAATCGGAAGAGAATCGAGAAAATTGGGAGAGATAAATTCAGAATTGGAATATTTATTTCTAACAGCGAAAAGGATGCTTTCAAAATTATATAAGAAGATGAAGAACAAGTATGCCAAAAATTTTCTCACTTTTTTGGAGTTTAATGTTGCCGCGGTGCCGAACGGCAAGCAGATGGGTCTGACATTCTCAGGCCTGAAATCTATAGAGCTGTTCAATTTAATGAGCGCGATGTCATTTTGCAGTTTCGCTCGCGTGTATTGAGGATGATAGTAGACACTGTCCACACCGAAATCCTGAAATCTCTCGGCGCACCGGAGCTCAAGTCCATTCTCATCGTAATCGCAGTCACGATCCTTACTTATATCGTGATCTCCTACCCTGACGCCTATCAGCGCTCTGATATCTGAAATTGGACGGATTTGATTGTATGATGAAGAAGCCTGCATCGATTGTATAAGAAGCAAATAAATATTAATCTTAGTAGAGGTAATGAACAATTTATATTTATTCTTTTTTAAATTTAATTTTTTCAGTATATAAATTCAGTATAGTTAAAAAAATTTTTTTAACAAGGGTTTCTCTCTTTACCTGTTGGAAGGTTAGTGACGCAGTGAGCAGCGGTGAGGATGAATCGATTGGAGATGATGGTACCGCCGCAACGGAACTCCGGATTCGTCTTTCCGGTGTCGTATGCGATCAACGCCATCCACGGGTACTCGAAGACCCCGGTCTTGTTACCACCGACTACCCTCGTCTGGGTGAGAGGTCCGCACCTTTGATGATCCAATAGATTTAAGTTCGGATGGTTCGTCACATCCGGCAGAGATTCATCAGACACGCCAGTTTGGGGTTGCACTGTAGGTCGTCTCGTCGTTGTCGATGTCGTTGTAAGCTGTCGCTAAAAATTAATATTTAACATTAAAATAATTAACACGCTTTTTACTAGTTAGGCTCAGTAAATAATAATTAAAGAGTAACAGATGGGCAAAGAGCACGTACACGACCTTAGTGTAAAGTAGTAATAAAATAATAACAGCAATCAATTGTCAAATGTTTCGGTTATTGTTTAATCATCTTCAGTGACAAACTTTAGAATAGCAGTGATATCAGTCAAAAAACAACGATCTATCTCGATATATCAAACGGAATCGTTGTTTTATCAGTCAAAAAACAACGATCTATCTCGACATAACAAACGAAATCGTTTTTTGACCGATAAAACAACGATTCCGTTTGATATGTCGAGATAGATTGCTGTTATTACTTTATTACTACTTTACACTAAGATCGTGTACGTGCTCTTTGCTCATCTGTTACTCTTTAATTAAGATAATTAGTTAATATTCAGTTAATATTTAGTATCATAAATAAAATAGAAAAGTACGTTTGAATTTAATTTAGTTTTGCACGCAAGTGTCAACTATTTTGACACACTTTATTCGTGTTAATTAAATTATATTATTCTCGTTTACATATATTGTTGTGATCAATGATTTTACGATTTGAAAGCTTATATATTTCTTTAAAAATATGTGAAGAGATATCGAAGAAATTTCTAATTATTTCATTTGGAGAAACTTTCTTCAAGATCAAAACAAGAAGAAAATGTTTTGATTTCAAAACAATTTTTTATTTTTTGTTATGATAATTTGTTTTTGCGCGAAATATTAACAGACATTTTCAGCCAGATTTGAGTTTCAGATTTCAACGAGTGGATCTTTAACGGGGGAATCCTACCAATACAAGATCAGAATATAAAACAGGAAGTCGAGGTCGGAGAAACCTGTTTCTGCGTTATTTTCGAAGACTATCAAACGCGTCCTGCGGAACGATGACATCTTCGCGTTAATAATGCAACAACGAAATAAAACATGTATGTATAATTTAACATATCACGTAAACATAAAAAGAATAGAAACATAGAGACTCATTTGAAACTCATTAACGCTTCTTTTCGATAAAGTATGTCGATTTTTTTGACACGATTAAATAAAGAACGATCGATTCGCTCATTAATAATTTTCTAATATATCGTGAATTTGTGTCATAGAAATTAGCAATAATTTCAGATGCGAAAAGAAGGATATTCTGAAGCTCAATAACACAAAACTATTGCAATATTTGCGCGAAATCGATATATTCTGCGGTTTCCAAATGAGATCTCTATTTGTTCTACTTTTTACGATTTTTTCCTTAAAATTGAATTTGATTTTAAATGTTACTGAAATTTTTAAAAAATATTTAAAAATTTTTAATTTAAATTAAATGCATACAATATTGACACGATTAATCAATTAGTGTAAAAGAATAATTACCTCGTTCGTACAACAAACCATCGGGTCGTTACCCTCGAAGCCGCATTGCGCGTTCCTGAGCATCTGCAAAATCTCTGACGAAAGTGGTCTCGGACTATTCCTCAGGATTGTTATGATAGGTCCACAATTACGGATGTTAATGCAAGTTTCCCCAAATTTTGGGCATGAATTCTCTGCAACAATAAGCCATTCTGCAACATTCTGCAATTCTTAATAAAACAATTTCAAATTAAATAGCTTTTTTCTAAACATAAGATTCAAGCTCAGTTTAGAAGACATTTACAGATAAATTATCGCAAAAGTATATAATTTCCAATATCTCAAATAAAATAATTAAATTCTCTGGATAGGAAAATTGGATATAAATCAAAATCACAGTTACGTTTGAAATATCATTGAAGCATTAAATTAATGCAAAATGTATTCAAAACTTTTCTTAAAACTTTATTATTAAAAATAAGGAAAAATGCATTAAATCTCCTTAAGTAATGTTCTAAAAAAAATTACTTACGTGCATTGATTGCAATTACAGCGAGGCAAAAGACGAACAATCTGATGGATATCATGTTTATATGTTTTTGTCTAACAATAATTTTAATAATGTCCAGTTCTCGTTCGTAGTTATTATTCTAAGCTCGTCTATAAGAGATTTTTCCTTCTCACTCCGAAGGTTATCGCCTGATGATAGTCTTTGAATAAAAAACTCACATTCCTCGAAGAACGTATCTAGTTCCACGCACGTTTTCCTCCGATCTGTCACTCCGAGATTGCACGAAGTCGCGTAGTAGCACGAGTCAGTCCTGAATCGATTGGAGTCAACACTCGTGGAATCATTCGCAAGAGTTGTGATCAACTAAGTCTCTCCGCTACCTGCTGAGTTTAATATAAATCGTGAAAACTGGTGGGGATATGATTATCCGGATGAACGGTCGATTGCGATTCGCTGCCGATTAGAAGAGAGTTTTGTATCGTTATTCACACACATGATTTGCATGATTTCGTGGAAATGAGAAACACCACGAGCTTTTCTTGGTAATTAAAATCGTTCTCATCCTTTTCGCGTTATCATTATTGTCCGAACTTGCTATCACACAAATTGGCAATACATTGCTTTGGAGTATTGGTGCTGTTGACACATTATACTCAGACAATAATATTTATATGTATATTTATAGAGTCAATTTTTTCTGAAGACGTCTTTGCTTGAGGAAAAACTTTGCACGTAGCAAAATTAGTAATTTTGACGTCATTTTAACATCAAATTACGTTAAACTGACGTCAAATGACTCCTATTGGTCAAAATGGCATTATTACTATTTTTGTGTTTTGATTTTAAAGTTCGTAGCAATTTTTTTTATACTGCATATTATTTATTATTTATATTTTATGTTACATTATTTTACGTTAAAGCTTTGAAAATTAATATGTATATAATTCTTAATATTGAATTTTAACAATTACTAATATTTTGTACTCTGCTATATGATTAAAAAAGTGTGCAGTCAATTTTAATTTTGTTTATTGTTTTTCTCATTAATAATTGTAGAGGGGAGAGAATTCTGTGCTATTATTAAAATTATGAAATCATAACAAAGACAGACAAATTACATATATTCAAATGTACTGATTTTAATTAATTGGCTCAGTTTGTCGGAAGTAACTTTTTATTTTTTATTTATAAAAAATTAGAATGAAAAGGTGAAGTTAGCAATTCTCAAGTCGGATGGAAATTATGCCGTCTATAAATGAGATCTGATCAAAACATAAAAAAAGCTAAACAGAGGAGTCAGAAAAATTTTCACGGAAGGGTAAAACCCACGCGGAATGAAAGGGAGATATAAGGAAAAAAAAAAAAAGAGAAAGAAAGAGCCGGTTGAATGTTAGAATGTTATATTTTTTGTACAACTTGTTTCCGAAAATCAAAAGTAATTTTTGCTAAAAAAATAGGAATAGAATCTCTCTAATAAATTTTAAAACACTGCGAATTTTATTCTCGTTATCTTTGATTTTTATCTTTTTTCATTTAAAAATGTCTATTTTGGATTCGGATTATATTTTATACTTTTCTTTTTGCCTTTGTTTCTTCTTTTAATAACTTCTATTACTTTGTTTGATAAAACTTTCAAGTTTTATGCAATCTCTCATGTTTATCTTCCTGTTTTCATAGCAATATTACTTTATAGTATTATTTTAGTACGAATACATCAGAAAAATAGAGACTTGTTAATGAATTTATATAATGAAAATCTCACAGAATCGTGATAATCCCTATTCTAAATATAGGAATGCATAAGACATAGTTATGCATAATGTATTAATATTGTATAAATCAAGTATATAGTAAGTCAAATGTTATATCAGATATTGTATAATTAATTTAGAAAACAAGTAATGGAAAGATAGAAAAAAAACTTTAGAAAAATATATCATATAACAGTTTTATGAATTATGCCATAATGTTTAATGTATTCAAAGATTATTCTCGTTAAGAAGTTAATAATTCCATATTATTTCGCAATAAGAGAACCGAGAATCCGTGACGTCGGGATCTTGTAATTGCCGGAAATTCCCATTAACAGTGCTACGTGATTGAAAACACATGTGCATTGTTCTCTTGAGTGTGCAACTTAATTTTAATTTAACCGTTATTAACGAGGAAAGTTAACAAATAGTGCCGCTACTTTCCTCTAAAGTGGTCGTCGTTAAAGGATATCCGCTATTCTTCTTCATTCACTTGTCATCCATCAGAAATAGCACGCATCGCCTTCAAGTTATCACAACTGCATGATAGCTTTCACAGAAAAGACATGGAAATCCGATTATATCCGCAAAGACGTAATCTCGTGACGTCAAAAATACATAGCTATCATCATTAAAAATATGATTATATGAATTTTTTGTATTATGAAAAAATAATGATCGATTAATCGAACACTGCGAGTTCTTGAATATTATTTCTTTAAGTTTGAGAAAAAATCACAAAATTGTATTTTTTAAAATAAAAGTTAGAAATATTTATAAATAAGTGATAATATATCTCTAAATAAAAATAATAAAAATATCAAAAATAACATTAATTATAACAATTTATATTTGGAACTATTTTATATTTCTTTATAATAATTATATATATTCATTATTTATGAAATATATAAATTCTATTTTTTTCGCTATATATTAATTGATATATTTTCTTTTTAGGAATTCTATTCCAATAACTATGCGCAATGTTTGATTAATTATTTCGCGTTAGCCTTGATAATGTTTTGCAAAATTGCGTGACGTAAAGATTACTGTAGTGCATCTATATCTATGCTGTAGTGTCATATTAATAGGTCAATTTTTTTAACAATTCGTGATAATGATAACCCCGAAAAAAATAATGAGCAAAAATCGAATATACGTAATCGTCGTCTCGATGAAATTTTAACATTTAACATTAATTGCAAGTTCTTGTCATTTTCCTCGAAAGAAAATGCAATTATTAAGAAATCAATGTTAGTTTATTAGATAAATAAAATTGTGTCAATAAGAAATGCAAATTTTACATCACAATTTGCTGATAAATTGGACGATGCTAAACATTACATTTTTTTGAGATAAATATTTATGCAAAGCAATCCAAAAGTTTATATATATAAATATAAATATTAAAATAAAAAACATTATTGAAAGAATGATAAGTGTAAAATATAATATAAAGTATATAATGTATATATAAGAAAAAAAGTAAAATGATTATAAATATTAATATAATATACATAGAAAAAAATTTTATTTTATTTTTATCAATGCATTATTAAAAACTTAAAAAATACTTCTTTTATTATACACAGTAACGTTCTCACACTCTGACATTCTTAATATCTATTTATCGATTATTATCGATAATTAATATTGCAAAATTTGTTTTACATTTATACAATAAACTGCACTTTATTTAAATAAAACTTATAAGAGTATTTGAAAACATTATTATAAATGTAGGTATATCACCAAAAATTCAAAATGAGCAATTAACATCGCTTAACTATAAATTTCTTTCTAGCAATTGAGTATATTTATTGAATATATATAAAAGACTGACTAATTTTTCAATTCGGTCAAAGCTATTGCACCAACCTTTTATGCTAAATTATTTATGCTAAATAATTCTATTATTATGCAGTTACAATATTGAGTAACATTTGTCTCATTGATGCATAACACATTTAAGTATCACGATAAAAAATTTATTTCGATGCATTATTTCTTCATTAATTTCGTCGAAAAAAAGTTTGAACACAATTCTTTATATATTATATTCTATTTTAATAAGATCGAATATGAATTTAAATCTTTTTAGGTCTTCTAATTAAATCTATTAACACAACTTTTCTTATATTTCAGAAATACATTGATTTTTGTTTCATTGATGCATAACACATTTAAGTATCACAATAAAAAATTTATTCCGATGCATTTTCTTCATTAATTTCGTCGAAAAAAATTTGAACACAATTCTTTATACATTATGTTCTATTTTAATAAGATGGAATATGAATTTAAATCTTTTTAGGTCTTCTAATTAAATCTACTAACACAACTTTTCTTATATTTCAGAAATACATTGATTTTTCGCAAATTCTTATTCCACCTTCAATCTAAAATCTCTCGGAAGAGTCTTGGGAGCGATATTCAGAGAGAGAAAGAGAGAACTGATCATCTTATATAATGTTCACATTACGGCCTCAGTTTACTAACGATCCAAGGGACGAAGTCTGCCACCCTGGTGTAGACACCTGGCCAACCCTGCATGCCGCAGGGTGACGGTCCAAAGGACACGACGCCCACGGCGGCCCATCTTCCGGTACCATCGGCGATCCTCTCGACGGCCATGAGGGGACCGCCCGAGTCACCCCGACACGAGTCCTTGCCCTTCTGACCTCCCGCGCAAATCTGCCCGTAACCGAGGCGAACACCAGCATTGCTGTAGGTCTGATCGCATTGTTCCTTGTCCGCCAACGGCAAAGCCAGCTTCAGCTTGACGTTGGACGCCGAGCGAGTCTCCGTCTTGCCCCAACCGGCCACGACGAGTCTACCCTCGAGCGACGTGTTGGACGGCAGGCAGATGGGCTTGATGAAGGTGGTGAACGTGACGTCACGGGTCAGACGCAGCAGCGCGATGTCGTAGCGCTGGTCCCGCGACTGCGGCCTGTACTCCTCATGAGCGATTTGCTCCTCCACGCCCACGGTGACCGGATCGTCCGCGCACACCATGCTGTCCTCGCTATCCTGAATGCAATCCCTCTCGGTGTCGGTGTTGTACTCACCCAGACGGACGCTGGTCAGCCGCCAGTTGGGCGGAAGATCCTTGCCCTTGATGCAATGCGCGGCGGTGAGGACGTAGCGCTTGCTGATCAGGACACCGCCGCAAGCTGTCGTCCTGCCGTTGGCTGTAACGTCGTTCGAACAATATTTCATGAGATTGTAATTTATAGATACGTTTGCGATGCTACCCTAACAACACATGTGTCTAAAACACGTTCAGAAGGAGGATGTAAAATATCCTTTGGATGTCCTCTGAACGACTTTTGGACGTCCTGTGCTGTTAGGATACGATCGATTGTGTGTAGTATAATTGATATTTGAATGTTTTCTCTCCACTCACGTTTCTGATACTCCAACAGGACCATCCAAGGAAACTCGTCGAGTTCGGTACGTTCACCACCCACTATTCTCTGAGACAGATCCCGGCCGCAATCGCTCGGCAGCAACGGATTGTCGGCTAAATAAACCTGGATGTTCTGAGTAGGCTGCGGGGTAGGTGGCTGCTGATTCGATCCCGGAGATTCTGGCCTGGGATTCGTCTGGGTGCCCGGACGAGTGTTGACATTATTATTATTATTATTCGCATTGGCATTGCCTATGCAGCACACTAGTGGATTCATGCCTTCGAAGCCGCAGTGATTGCGCCTCAGATAGGCGATCGCTTGCTCGCGAGATTGCTGCAGGATGCTGGCCACTACCGGGCATTCGCGTGCAAGGATACATGAGCCCGTCTGACCGTCAACTCTGCAATCGGTCGGCGAGCTTTCTGTCTCAGAAATCAAAATGAGAAAGTTATTTTTTGAAAAAAGGTATCTATGCAATTCATTTTTTGTATTAACATTATTTTAATCGTAAAAAATTATTTTTAAATTAAAAAAAATATATATATATATAATCAATTTGTTGCGCATATATTAACATTATAATCGATGAGAAAAGCAACGATTCCGCATTAATGGTCTGCGCAGAAAGTCTTTTTGAATTGAGTATTAGTTTTGCATAATCGCATCGCTTCATTAATACATGTTTTTCTACAACTTTTAGCCATCTAGCAATATATTTATATCATTTATCCAAGAATTTCTAGTTTTTTTAGTCAAACGTTTTTTTGCATAATTTAATATTCTATAATGTAATAAATACTATATAAATATTAATTGTAAACATAAAACTGTGCTATATTTATGATAAACTTATTGATATCATTTAATTTATGAAATTTATTTATTCGATAATATAAAGTTGATTATTAATTAATTATTCTTTATGATGATGAACACGTACACATATATGCGTACATTAATATTATATATGTATATCTGTATTATCTTTGAATAATCCGAGAAATATTTATAAATCTGCGTCTATCCTGAGATTTATCGATTCGCAGAATCAGATAAAGCTGATCTCACAGCTGTTCTTCCGTCACTTCCGTTGATATACGTGTTTCCTGACTTTTGTTTTAGTCATTATAATTAAATGATGTAACGCAAAATAATGCCGCATACGAATGTAATCGATGGGAAACCAGCATCTAGCCTTTGTTTTCGCCGAAGCGCGTCATAAATTGATAACTAATAATGTCGCGAACCCGGATAATCACGTTTCGCGATAATTAAACTTCCATCAGTGATTGAAACTAAATGTGAAATAAATAATTATTATAAAGTTTAAGTTATATATTTTATATATACATTAGGTCGACCTTGAATATGATCAACGCTTTGGTTTTTTTTTCATTGCGCACGTTAAGTAAAAAAGTAGAAGACGAAAATTATTAAAGAAATATTAAAATTATAATTTATAATATAAGTAAACATGTATGTTATAAATTGGAAGATTTTACATAATATCTAATTTGTTGTAAATTGGAATTATAATTAATTTCAACGTCGTCTCTTGATAACAAAAAACCGCGTGATAATTATATACTTTTGAAAAGACTTTCAGATTTTAGTCTATGTATAACATCAAACAATACGTGAACTCTACTCTTTATTAAATTCCTGTTTTTTTTAACTTTATTTACCGTAAACTGACTTTATTGAGTCATCAAAAACCTTGATGAAACAACTCGAGTCACTCTTGATCCTACCTTTTTAAAGCTCCCTCATATATAACATATATTTAAATAACATTTATAGACAGGAAGATTGAAACATCTTCTATATGAACATGTCTTTATATCTTCAATATTTTCTAGAGAATTTGAAAAAATATGTGAAAGAATTAAATAAACTTTAATTACAGCCTTCGGCTATTTTTCCTGGATTATCATCAACATTCTTTCTTATGTTTCAGAGTACATTTTAAGGAAGCTATACTTACGCGCATTGATACCGATGATCACCAATGTCAGCAACTTGAGGGACATCGAAACCGACCTCGACATCCTTGGTGAATTATTCAACTCTTCAATTTATCAACAAAAATACCGAGAGACAATCACAGCACACTTTGACAACGAGAACTCGCCCGATTTCGCGCAGCTCCTTCCGTTTTATGCCTTTGTACCGAAGATCAGGACACCAACTGACGTTGATGCCCATGATAAAGTGACCGGAGCCAGGGTCAACAACTGTCCCCACCACCACTGTCAACAAGCTTCGCCTAGCTAATTAGCAGGGGCGGATTAGCCGAGGAGAATCATCGGAAAATTCGTGCGTTTATCACACAATTGGTATGAAATATACTTGAAAAAAGAAAAAATATTATATTTATAGTATATTAGAATAATTATATTATATTAGTATAATATTTTAGATATCATGATTCTTTTTTATATAAATCAGAATCGCAGTGACAGATGTGATTTATTTGAGGACGATATTAAAATTAACAACATTCATATTAATGTCTCGATATTATAACTTTTACAGCCGTGAAATGATCGGGACTTTCCCTATATATCAATATTTTTATATTCATAGACCAGTTTGCTCCTGCTTTATAAATTAGCCAATGGCGATTTCCTCATCGCTCTTTCTTGCTTTCTTGTCGGAGCCACATTTAAAGACTAGTAATTTTTATTCCTATACATAATTGTCAAAAAATAGTAGCTAAAATATTATAGTTATTTTTTCTATTTATAATGTTAATATATATATATATATATATATATATATATATATATATAAACAACTACAGTTTCATATATACTTTTAATATTATCTATATAAATTTTAGTAAAATAATAAAGAACTGGAACAAATTAATTGATAATTAATTTATTCCAGTTCTTTATTGATTTGCCATAATTTTAACATATGAAATAAATATATGAAATTGGCGTATCTTGGAAGGTTCGAAAATTCTATGAAACCTGAAAATATTTAAGTGAATCTAGTAATTATTTTTTTTCTTTTTTTTCTTCTGCGACATACAGATTTTAGAGAACCTGTTTGCTCGCGAATTCATGGTGTTAATAACAAATTATGAATTCGAGGAAACCGTCTTGATGTCATCAAGCTCACCATCGATGAATTCGCGAACGTGGAATGGATCTCTCAATGTAAACAAACGTAGATTTTTCTATCAACTTCATTATATGAAGTCATCAATAATTCTCGGCCGAGTCGAAGTAGCAATTTAATATCTTAATTTACGTACGCGTTATCTCATAATTTGCAATCTGTATAGCATAATGCAAAGTATGTTATAGTATATATACTCGCAAAAAACTTTAGAGAATGCGCATATGCATATTTATCAATTATATAAAACTGTAAAGTTTGTTCATACACTTTAGAAACCGCATTAATGTTGATATTAATCATATAGCTCAATATTCTACAATATATATATTATATACATGTATATGTATATATAATTCTTCGTCACACTAAGAAGCTTTATCATGCATTCTATATAAAAATCCACATAGGAAGCATTTCAAAATACGCGGAAAAGATTATATCGAATATACCAGAGACATTTTAAATTCCAACTCATTGTATATTTCCAACACTAATGTCATATTTAATTATCACCGTTGCATGCGCTTCCGCGAAAAAATGAATCAATCTTTGAGAAAAGAAAAAAAACCAAAGCTCTTTGTAAATGTTGCGTGCGTGACCGAGTATAATCCAGGTCATGCGATGCCAAACGGGATATCCCGACTTCTTCGTGTTATTAATTATGACGAATCTCAAAGCAAATAAGCATTGGATATCGCGATTTGTACGAAGATGCATGGGCGCCGCGATGGGGATGCAAGGCAGTGCATTTGCACCCCCTGGCTCTGTTCTATAAAATAAATGGGGAAGCAACAGAGAAAATATTTAGTAAAAAAATCATGTAATATAGAATAATAGCGATTATAATTTTTTTAATTGAACAAAAATGTGATGGTTAAATATAACTATTTGCAATTGTAAAACTACAATTCTTTAACTATATTAACAGATCTGCAATATAAAAATTAGAATTTTTCAATTATTAGTGCATCTTTATTAAGATTCAATAAATAACATAAATGATGTTAACAATAATATAATTATAAACTGGGAAAAAAACTGTTTTTCCAGTGCATCCTCTTTTGGGTGCACCTCCCTAAAAATAATTCTGCCGGCGCCCATGCGAAGATGCTTTTCAATTTGAGTAAATATATATACCATATATATATATATATATATATATATATATATATATATTTAAATTGATTTGCATAGAAGTAAATTCTAGCAGTAGAATATTTAGATTTAACGTCTAATTTATTATTCCCACGTGGCTTACTAATCAATGATCTGCATAAATAATTAAATAATTGGATAATTGCAAAGATTTAGCAAAAGCAAGATTACGGGTTTCTTATTGAATTTGATTTCTACAGTCGACTTTCAAGGATAATTGCTTTCGATCGAACGTTTACAGAATTGAGAAAATTCTGTAGTTTTTCTTTTGATTTGATTTTTATTAGCTGTATATGTATCTACAAGATAACACGATTTTCTTTGTCAATTTTTATTCTTACACTTGACTCTTTAATTATAATTTATCTCTTAATAACACAGCGTGTCTAGTAATAGGTATCTAACAACCAAAGCAATTTTCGCATGTTTAAAATAATTAATGCCAAGAATTCTCATTAATTATACATACGAGATATCTTGATGAAATTATTGTCGCGACGATCCTAAATAAAATTATTCTAAATAGGAAATTCTTTCATTTTTATCAATGAAATGAAAAACTTGCCAAACGAACTAACTTCGAATTTTGTTTTCACTGTAATTAGGACGACTCGAACGATCCCGTCTGAGCTCTTTCACGGCTGAATGTGATCCAGAATCCATGTGGTATACGCAGCGACCTTGCTGTAGATGGCGGGTGTCCTGGAGGCGCCGCAGGCCTTCGCACCAAAGGAAACGATGCCGATCAAGTAGTACCTAGGTCCGTCATGGCTTAGCACCTTCATTAAGGGTCCTCCGCTGTCACCACCGCAAGAATCCTCGCCTATGATACCGCCTACGCACATCTGGTTCTGCTCCGACATCTCAGCGAAGTTGCCTAATACTGATTGCAAACACTTGTCCATTTCGACGACCGGCACCTTGAGCGTCTGCAGGATCGTGCTGGGCTGCGGGTCGTCTACAATTTAACGAAATGCAAAATTTAAATTGAAATAGGCAAGTACGTTACTCAAGCGATTTAAATGTAAATCCAAGAACTTGCATCAAATGATTCTCAAAAAATATTTTGGTTTACTTTGAACCCTCTTCAATGACTAAAAAAGAAAGAGAAAAGAGAGTATTTATTATATAAGAATATATTTTAATACAGTTAAAGTGATGCAAATAGAGAAATATTAAATATCTATCAATTTAGATTTAGGCAAAGTATCTTACTGATATCGTATATCCCCCAACCGGCGACTTCTGCCGTTTCGCCAGCAAAGTTTTTCACCAGAAGTTCACCGTACAACATACATATCGGCATCACGAATTCTGTATTTAGATTACAACAGATTATTATTTTTTTTAATAAACTTATTTTTACCTGTTAGCTAAAATTTTTATAATGAAAATAAATCGGATGAACATCACGTGGCAATTTTCTTTTATTAACTTTATAAATCAAACATTTCTTAATAAATTAAATTTTGTGATTCAATTTTTCATATATAATTATTATATATTTTTAAATATTTATATCTTCCAAATTTTATATTTAAAAATGTACCACCAGGCAAAATTATAATTTTTGTGTTATATTTAAGAATTCGATCAAACTTAATTCAAGAACCTATTATAGTACTTATATTTAATTAAATTAATATTTAAAGAATTTAAATAGATAATTTTTCTCGGAAAAAATTTTAAAAGACGAAATTTATTCATCCATTAATCGATTGGTCTAGTCGGTTAATTAACTAAATATAAAGATAGATCTTTATAATAAAATAAACATTGATTTATTTGTATACTCACCGTTGTAAACTGCCGGGTGATCCAATCGTATTAAAGCTATATCATTCTTGAATACGGGCTTATTATAATCTTTGTGAATGATGATCAATTTCGGTGAGAAATCTTGCACCGGCTCCGCGCAAAATTCGCGTTCACAATCGATGTCAGTCAGGGTGTTGTGCTCGCCCAAACGAACTCCACCGACTTTGAAACTTAAAGAGATATATGCTTTATTACATGTAGTATACAAAAATTGTAATAAATTAATAATTATAAAAACACCAATTAAAAATATTTTTTATTATAAAAAATTTGCTTGACTTTTAATCTTATATTTTTTTCTTTTAACTACAACTATATATCTATTGTTTACATACTTTTCAGGCAGATTCATCACGCAGTGAGCTGCAGTGATAACGTGTAGCTTATTGATCAAGGTGCCGCCGCATCTGTAGCTCAAATCGGGGGCACCAGGATTGCCATATCCTATTCTCGCGATCCAAGGATACGCGCCTAGGCTGGCATTTTTACCACCGATAATACGATCGCTGTTGGAGATGCCGCACTTCCTGTGCTCCAGTAACGACCAGCTGGGATGTTTAGTCACATCGGCTACGCGGATCATTAAATTCACTATAGTACCGCACTTTTATAATGTGGAAATATATTTCAAAATTATTAATAAAATTTGGTTCAGAAAAGTTTACTTATTCCGCGAAAGATTGGGTATATAAATCTTATATTTATTCGAAATAAAATTGTATTTATAGAATATATTTTCTCTCTCTCTCTCTCTGGAAATTCTTTGCGTTTATATAATTATATTTTTTCAATTCTTCATAAATATTTTATCAAATTTTTTGCAGATACTGCTTTTGTAGAATGCGCTGCAAATTATTTTTGAAAGAAGAGTTACAGTTGCTATCTTTAATTAACTTTTGTATAATGTGTGATATGTTTGATATTTCTTATAATATATATAATATATAGGGTATATATATTAGTTTATTGAGAAGGTTTAATTATATATAGAAAACTTACTGGAAAATGTTATGGAAATACCGTAAAAAAGTATAAAATTCCATAATAAATGTCGCATCCTGCTTGAAAGCTGGAAACAAGCAAGCAATCAAGTGGGTTTTTTTACTTATTCACACGTAAAACTGTAAACAAAAAATTATAAATAGCTGAATTTATATGATTGTTAACTCTTATGTCATTTTATCAATATTTGGCATTTCGAAATTACTTATTCTTACCGAAAATCACAGCGGCACAAAAAACTATGCACCAGAATCCTCGTCTGACAAGTGTTACGCTCTATAACTACGTACAGTAGCTATCGCTTAATTCGCTTTAATCTTCTCTATGCCCGTACAACCTTATCTCTACCGTAACAAAATGTGCATTACGGCTTTGCCGATAGATCTTTATAATTGACTGCTAGTCTGGCTTATAATATAAACTCAATACATCGATTTGCTAATTTTTTTCGCGAAACGAATTATATCTTATATATTTCTATGAAAAAATACCAAATCTTTTTTCAATTATTTATTATATGTATTATTAAAGTATATTTATTTTATATTTTTAAATTTAATATATTTAATATATTAACTATTTATCTAATTAGTTTTGTTACATATTTTTAAAGGTATTAAATAAAATGTGAACGTCTATCCTATCGTATACGAATTTGCTGTCAAATGTCAACGTGGGATTCTGTTAAGCAAATCACCGGATGTTAAGGAACAGTGATCGGAATCTGATAAAATGACTTTCCTAAGTAAAACTTCTGCATCCTCACCATCCCTGAATTTAAACAAAATTCATACGAAATTAAAAATTTGTAACGACACGTCAATCGCTGAAAAGGTAAATATCGCTTCAGATACAATGAAAATTATAAAGTAAATTGAGATGTAAAAAAATGCGATTTAATAATTTCGTCAATATTTCAGACGAAGTTTTGCAAAACTTGCTGTAAACCTTGTCATATTTGCCCGCGAATTCTTGCAAAATGTAAGTACTGTACGTATTATATTTTAATATCTTTATATGAATGTTAATATTTTATTCTTAAAAAAAACCTAAACAAGAGTGTCTCTAATTTAAATGTCTTTCTCCTAATTTTTAAAAGTATTCTCACATTTTATTATTTTTACCGTTTATATCTTTATATTTATTTTATATTTACATTTATTGATTTACTTTTATAATTAAACAGTTTTTACAGGATACATTATTTTCATTTGACAATGAAATTTACAAGTAATTCTTAATAAATATTACAGATAAAGCACAGTTACAGATGTGGCGAAGGTATGGAAAAAGCGATAATTTTGTTCTTATTGGTGCAAAGTGTATCATGGAATTCTATCGATGGACGAATGAAAATCATTTCTTAAAATCGATCGTCGCATCAGCGATTTTATTCGCAATCGGAATAAAACTCACTGGAGAAATGAACGCTTGGAATTTATCACAGACTGTTGGTCGATAGAATCGAGTCTTCGAAGAAATTCAGGTACCTTAAAAATTTATTTAATATAATTTATTAGTCATAAAAAAAACAACAGAATTCCTTGATCTCCTATTTATAAATCTATATTATTTATTAATATATATTCGAAATCCTTTATTGAATCTGCCACATTTCTAGCAATAGAATGGCTTCTTCCAAAAAATGGATCCTTTCGATGGCATATAATAATGCTGTGAAACATAATCATCTTAAACCTAGAAGAGACATAAATAATATAATTAAAAATATAATAGAAATAAAATATAATTAAAAATGATCTTGTTTTATCATTTTTAATTATTTTTTTAAGTTAATATTTATTCTATTACATACTATTATATCTAAACAGTAACTTCTTTCCTAGAATCAGATTGGTCTTCAGGACTGTCTGTAGAATTGACAATACATTTTGCATCCACTGACTCATTACTTGAGACTTTATCATTGCTCTCATTATCAGTCGATGACTCGGAATGTTCGCTTCCCACTTTCTCGGTGCTTTCACTGATTTTTGAAGCATTGTCACTGGAATTTCCACTGTCAATCGACAGTGTTTGTTGCTCTGCTTTATCTTTTGTTACCGATGTGTTATTTCCATCACTGTCATTGTCATCTTCTGAAGTATCCTCAAATTCATCGGAATCAATCTCGAAATCCAGTATAGTCTTGCGTTTATTTGGTTGATCATCTCCTTTCAATTTCCTCTTAACACTTGACATGGTAGCAGCTTTGAAACCTTCCTCGACCGCATCTTCGACTTTCTCAGGTAAGTCAGCTCTCTCCTGTTCATAACGCTGATCTCTGAACTCGTGTCTCGGTTCAGCGCACAGTTTCTCAAGCTTCTTCTTTTTGCGCTCCTCTGCCTCATCGTGTCTCTTGGTCTGCTTCTCGATCCAAGCCTTCAGTCTCTTCTCCTCGTTTATGTCGCGCAATCTACGACCGCTCAGGTCTCTGCAAGCTTCGCGATTCGTGGTTTTCTCTATCTGTGCACCTATCGCCCGTAACATGGAACCGAAACCACCTTTGCCACCCAACAGTCTTGGGACGACAGTTGCGTAGCCATTTGAGCAGATATCGTCCTTTTGCATAAGTCGGCCATTATATTCAATGTAATACTGATCACACAAAAGCCCCTAAAAATAATAACAATTAATTCATGTCTGATATTCCATAAATTCTGATATTCCATAATTAATTCATGTCTGATAAATTCTGATATTCCATAATTAATTCATGTCTGATATTCCATAATTAATTCATGTCTGATGTTCTATAAATATATAAATAAATGAATATATTATGAATTATAAATAAATAAGAATGATAAATAAATGAATATATTATGATTGTCACATAATGACTAACAATAGGTTTTGAATGAACAATTATGAAAATATCGACTAAAATATCAAGTTTCAATTATATAGATTAAAATATTTATTAACCTCGTATCAGTTTGTGAAAAAAAATCAAGAAGAATTTTTAGGAAATGGTAAAGAGAGATTTGAAGAAAATTTTAGGTTATAATTTTGAGGTTAGTTTCACGACTTACCGTTTGTTTTTCGACTAATTGAGACAATTCATGAACTGTTATAGGCGTGTCACTTTTAAAAACGCATTTCACGGATGCACCTGCGATTTTTACGTTCAACATTTTTGCTCGAAACGTACAAAATTTGCTTTTTGTAGAGAATCCTCAAGTCTGAATTACACTTCTTCACGAATTTGTCGATTTGTCCAACATATGATTTCTAATTTCCTATAGAAGAGCTTGAATTCTAGTGATTTTAACTAGTAACATCTTGGGATCCACAAACAAAAATTAGACTTTCTTTTTTTTATTTTAATTATATATAATCTGATTTAATTATAAAATGTTTAAACATTATAAAATACATTTTTGAATATTTATCTACATTTTTTAGTAAAAAAAAAAAAAATAAATAAATAAATAAACAGCCAATTCATAAGAAATAGTGTTCCAGATTTTAATTTGAAAATTTCTGCAATCATAAACAAAATCAAGATCCCAATTATATTGCACAAAATATAGTAAAACGTTTCTTTTTCTCGATCAATCAATAATTTATCTCGTCTGCATTGTTTTCTTTCTTAAAATACGTAATTAATAGAAACACGAAAATTTTAAGAAATGTATATTACTTAAATATGAAATTCTTTATACGTTAAATTACATTCACACAATTCTAACAAATGTTCAGATCAAACTAATATTTCGCGCGTCTTTCGTTGAAACTCTTACAGCTATTTAGTTTTTTTTCCTTAAAAATAATCATTATAAAAGAACACTTGGGAGATAGGATTAAGTATTACGCAAACTGACTTTGTGACTATCTCTGGAAGGACCAGATCTCCTTCAAGCTATATACAGCATGTATAGGAACATTATCATACAATATTTCTCTGCCGCCGAGAAATAATTCTAGACCGAGGAAGAATCTTATACCGTTTCTCCTCGCCTCAGTCTCCTTGGGAAATCGGTGAACCGCGGTCACGTTTCGACGATGCCTTTCCCTTTCCCTTGGATTTGGTTTCTCGCTTCCGACTGATCGACGAGGTCGAGGTGGTCGAAGCTGAATCAGCCGGGCTGGAGTGACTCGAGCCCTCTCGGTCCCATCTTGCTAACGTGTCCCGCAAATTCTGGCTGTCACTTTCTTCATACGTGTCCACATCGACGTGGAGATTGTCCTGGTTGCTGCTGCTGCTGGCGGAGCTGTCCAAGTTAGCGCGCACCTCTTTACGCTGATCGTCAGTGTGCTGCGGGCATCGCACCGACCTGGTGCACAACTTCTTCGTGTGTTCAGACACAACGCCGCAAATCTGCGAGAGCAGCGCTCGCTTGTCCACGAGGGACATGTTCTCGTAGTTCGACGGCGAGCTCTCATTGCTGCTGTGAACGCTGCTACCGCCGCTGACGATGGCGGTGGTATCGCCGTTCCTCTGCGAGGAACCGCTACCGCTGGCGCCGCTGCTTCCCTGTTGCTTCTGCTGCTTGGCCGAACGTTTGCTCACGCCGTTGCGATCCTTGCGCGGACGTTTCCGTTTGTTGTTGTCGTTGGTCAAACTCCAGTCCACATCGTCATCGTTATCGCTCAACACGCCCCCGTAATTGTTTAAATCCTTGGAATTGTTGGCGATACGAAGCGATGCGATACGTGAACTGTTTCTGCCCATTCCTATACATTTTGCCAGGTGATTCGCGAAGATGCATGCGGCTACACTCCGTTCGCAATTCGGACAGTTACATTCCTGAGATTTCTTCACCGGGTGTTGACCGAATACATCTAGTCCGGGCGAATCTAAAATATTTGCAATGTTGTAACATGTTATTTGTATGTGTAGAAACATTGGATTATTTCTATAATATTAATGGTTTTGCTACTGATTTATTAAAGAGATTCTTATAATAATACTAATGAATGTCCATATTATTATTGTGCAGCTAGTGTGGAAATAATCTTCATATTTTGAATAATAATTCAAATAAAAAGCAAATGACAAGAAAAATATTTGCAGATATTTCTATTATGCAAAAGATCTCTATATAAGACCACACAAAATATTTTTAAAAAATCATAAAATTATTTCTCTATAAAGAGAGTGATAATTTGTAATTTTAATGTAACAATTGAACATTCTTTAAATTGTTAAAGTAAAGTACAGTTGTTCAAGATATCACGTTTAAATAAACAAATGTAAATAAAAGTTAATTGTATTTTTACACACCAACAATGGCATAGTTCTCGTCCTCGGGAATGCCCTCCTCGATGTCGGAACTGCCAGTCTTGGTGGTACGATGCATGTCAAAAGCAAAACCCATCACAACTTCATCCAATAAATCTTCATAAATCTCCTTTGTGGCTGCCTCGACATTCTCTGATTTGCTCATTAATTCTAGGAAACGCTTATTTAATTCTTGAATTCTTTCCTCGGTTACGGACATTCTGGTTTTACAAACGAGCCAGTCACTTGTCTCTATGAGATTTATTAGATTTTAGATGGGTTAACACCTAAGCTTAAAGCCATAGGACATTGACCAAGCAGCGTACCAGCACTCCAGTGTTCCAAGTTTCTGACAGTTCCTGGGCATCTAAAAATTAGAAATATCTTTTAGAGATGAGTTATGACAGTGAAAAAACAGCACAGAAAAAATGTTTTTACACTTAAACAATCACTTACATCGAAGTTTCATCTTTTTATATACATATACAAAAAACATATTCATATATAAAAACCAACATACTAATAAATGTAGAAATTTATTTTTCTAATATCAAATACTAATATTAAAAAATTTTAGTTTAAAAGTAATCAAAATTATATAAAAAAGTAAGAAAATAAAATCAAAACATTCAAAAATTGATACAAACCACGAAAATAAAACACAAAGAAAGAAGACACATCTTCGGAGCACTCGACTATATTTTTAGCTTTAAAAATTAAATTCATTGAAGTTGAAAACCGCTTGCAATTCTTGAACATTAGCAAGATATTTTCAGGACACCTTGTATATACAGAGTTGTATAACCTAGAAGAGAATAGCGGATCGATAAAATAGAATTATTCGCCGAAACATCGTTCGGTGCAAAGGGATCGAAAAATCGGATATCCTTCGATAAGGATGTCCCTTCGGGTCTCGTATCGAAAAAAAATACAAAGTGGTTATTTGAATACCTGACACCGCTCTCCGTTACGGCTTGTTTACGAGTGACAGCTGCGCGATGACATGCGCGTCACGTCCCGACGTTTTCCTCCTCGCGTCGACGACATCGAAGGGCTCGAAGGGCTCGAATTGTACGAAGGACGTCTTCCTCGAAGGAGCCTCCTCTTCCTTCGTTCCCTCTCTCGCGCCCGCAATTCTGTAAATCGCCGGAGAAAATGACAGCTCGATCAATGACAGCTAACTGCACGCGTATTCACGTGCGTCAAGTCGGTCCCTTCGGCTGCACCAAAGTGCAGCGAGTGCACTTTTGTTCCCTTCGAGAGAGAGAGAGAGAGAGAGAGAGAGGAAGAGAGAACCCGTCTCATTTTCAAGAAAGCTCGATCAGTTATGTTCAATGTTGTTAATTACGCTAATTGTGCGTCCTATGATTATTGTTAATCATTATTGCGAAATGTGTTTCCCGCGCTTGAAAGACTGACGTATTATTTTTGCTCCGAGGAAAGGAGGAAGAAAGAAGAGAAAAGTGTAGGAAGAAGACCTAAGGCGCACACGTGATTTTACACGGAGACGTCAGCTGATTCTAGTTCTCATTGCCGCAGGGGATCTGAAAATCTGAATGAATAAAAGGGAAGGAATCCATTTTTTTTGGCAAAATGTGTACATTTCAACTTAAAATTCAACGAAAAAAATAAAATAGAAAAAAAAATAGGAAAATAATTCTGATAAATTTAAATGCAAACAATATCACTCTTCTTTAACACAATTACAAAATCTACACCCGTTATAAAGGATATACCGTTATATCAAGCTATATAGAGAGAAGGAAAGAAAAAGTTTTTTTTCAACACACTTCTACATTTTTAAAATAATTTTTAAATAAATAAACGGCGTCCAAATTTCGCAAAGAAAAAAAAGAAAAAAAACAAAATAGTACACACATATCTAAATAGAAAAATAAGCCTTCGGAGCGTCCTGATTGGCTGTCCGCCTTCGTGCTTGTTGCGTCATCCAATGGCGAGCGAGGAGGACGAACAGCAACAAATTGTTACTTGTTGCGCATCGTGCTCCTTCGTGCCGAACACATCGTCGTCGTCGTGGGCTCGTCATCGTTCGACCGTCATCGAGGAGGATCGTCAGTGACGACGCGACGCGTCGTCGAGAAGAAGCGAGACAGAGTGAGGAGGAGAAAGCGGACGCGTGGAAGACGACGACGACGCGCCCCTTGACATAGGCCATCTTGTGCGGCGTCGGGATTGATGAAAGGGCCTGTTCCTTCAGGGGCACAGGTCGGAGCAGATGCCCTGGTTGTTCTCTCAACTCTAACGCAGGTACGATGTTTAGGTCTCTATCTCTTTCGAGAGAAAGAGAGAGAGCTTCCTTCATCCGTCTCGGAAACGAGCGAAAATCTAGACCCGAATATCCGCAGGTCTCTGCAATCCGGAACGGAAGCGACCGAGAGGTGACCGAAATCGGAAAGTCGCTGAGCGAAAGTCGGTGGCTCGTCGAGGAGGGATCTCTTTCTCTCGCGAGGAAGGGAAGAATCCTGGTAGATTCCTGAAATTGCGCACGCGACGTTTTGCGATAAATAAGCGAAGATGGAGAAGATAGGTAAGATGCAGTATGTAGGTTTATGATTTACTCCTTACGCAACATATGACAGTGTTGTGCATTCTTAATGAAGTCGTCTCTGAAGTGTGAACACTGTAGACAGTTTGTGGAATTTATCGTTGTTTATGAGTTGTCTGCTGGATGCACAAACATGAAATAATTATGCAAAGCGTGGCTTCTTATATTTAATTTATATGAACAATACTTGTCGTGTACTATTTGTTTATTTTATACTATGAAATTTAATCTAACAGTTATAATTTGATTTAGACTTTATTTACAAATTATACACGATATTTAAAATAGAAATCAATCATAAAATAACATAAGTTTAAATTTATACAAAATATAAAAGTATATTATAAATTAAAATAATAATTTTACATGTAATTTATATGTATTTATTGCAGAGATTGTGAAAATAGAAGAGTGTCCTAACGATGCATTGATTGACGTAGCAACTACAGAGATCTTATTTGGTAATTGATTATTTAAAAATATCTTTCAATAATATCTGTAATAATATACCTTTTATTACATATTATTTCTTTACAGAAGCAAATACCGCAGATATACAGATACAGGATGACTCTATACTAGTAGATTGTAGACCACATGCCGAAGATGTAAAAAGTAATCTAATTTGTGTATACAATATATGTGTATACAGGATGTCTCAGAAACATTTTTAATTATATACTATTTGGCATTACTTTCTCTAATCAAATTTTTCTACCTTAATACTATTTTACTTAAATATGTTTTATTGAGACATTCTGTATATGCATATATTTGAATATATTCATATAACTAGTGCATGCGAACAATACACACTAGATTGTTTCTATTCTTTAGCTTACATTTTTGTTCTCTTAATTTTACTTTATTATTTGTTTCATTATTATTTTGTTTGTTTTATGTTAACAGTTATTTCAGAAAATGGTCAGATTATATCAATTATAACTGATTATGAGTGTGTAACATGTCACCGTGTCTTTCAATCTGAAGATGTAAGTCACAGTTTTATTTTTTTTTAATCCGTTTTACACATCTGTCATTTTTTGTTTTGTTTTTATTAATTTTTCTCATTTTAATTACTTTGCGACAGATGTTGAAGGAGCATTTAGATATGTGCAGAGAGGAAGATGACTCGACCAATATCATGGAGTTCAGTCATATGGAAAATTATGATTCGGAAGAGGAGGAAGAAGAGGATGAGGATGATCCAGCATTAAATGAAGGTATATGATAGCTGTGTATCAAATAATGTTTGTTTTCACATTATAAACTTACAATTTACAACTATCTAATTTAAACTTATAATCTATACTTTTAGATTCAGATTCCACAAGCCAAAAGAATAACAATGAAAAATCACAACCCATAATCAAGCCTGTACCAGAAACGCAATGCCACTGTTGTGCGGAAGATGTGAAGACAGCGCATAGTGGTGGGGAATTCAAATGTCCCCATTGTAATCTTAGTTTTAAGAAGAAGGCGTCTTTGGAAAGACATGATATAGTCATACACTGGAAGTGTGATTCGTGTACATGCAACGAATGCGGTTCATCCTTCCGTGATAAAAAAGCATTGAACAAACATCGTTATACTACACACGGGGATCGCAAAATTTTTAGGTATATTGACGCACAATTATTTTCTTCATTATTATTGCTTATTATTGTCAACTACAAAAAATAATCTAACGCTCTATATATATTGATTTAAATCTCTTTTTTGTAATTAAAAATAATTTTTATTATTTGGCACGAGTAAATGTATGATCTTTATTACTTGACAATGCTAATTGTAGAAAATTGTAATATCCTGTTATTATATTAATGTCCTGTTTTTAAATAATATTTTAGATGTGAGCCTTGCGATACTTATTTCTCCCGGGGTTACCATTTAAATCGACACATTTTGCAATCTGGTTGTCACGGCAATATACTCAATACATTCAGTTGCCAAGTAAGTATATAATTTTTGCTGATAAATTTTAAGAAAACATCGAAGATTCTTAAAAGATAATACAAGTAAATAATTTTGTTGCAGGTTTGTAAGAAAGTTTTCACGCGCAAGGATAATTTGCGAGAACACTTGCGTACTCACGCGGGAACACCTCAGAGGCAAAAGAAACCATGTAAATATTGTCCAAAAGAGTTCTTTACGAGCCAACAGTTATTGGTTCATGAACGCATGCACACAGGAGAGCGACCAGTCCCATGCGATTTGTGTCCCAAAACATTCCTATCATCGTTGGCTTTGAAAAAGCATCGTCGTGTACATACTGGAGAGAAGCCGTTTGAATGTAAATATGTAAGTGTACTTTATTTCTCATCAAATGGATGATTATTTTATGAATATTTGCAAAAGTATTTAATGTCACGCATTCTTCTCTCGAACGACAAGTAATATAAAAGTAATATAAAAATAATAAAATTTCGTTACATTGCAATGCAAGGTAGCATTATGGATGGAAAAATATTGCTAAATGTAAGTTTTCATCAAACTAACATTAATTAAGGATATTTTTAATGCACGAGAAACGTATCTGCATACAATCATCTCTCATTAATATATTTTTTATATAAGCCTAAATATTCGTGTTTTTTTAGTGTCATAGAAAGTTTGCCGCTCGCGAGACGTTGAATCGTCATCAACGGACTCATACAGGTGAAAAGCCGCACGTGTGCCAGTATTGCGGTAAATCATTCATACAGGCAGCTCAATTAAGAGCGCACGTATTTCATCATACTGGAGAGAATGGTTTCCATTGCGACGATTGCGGCAAGGCGTTCAACCGGAAAGCACGTTTAAATATTCACAAGAAATTCGTGCACGAAGGTGCTATCCCGTTTTCATGCAAAGAGTGTGATAAAGGTTTCACTCGAAAGGAGGACTTGGTGAAACATGAGCTGTTGCACACCGGCATCAAACGTAAGAGATTGAACGATATATTTTATATAAAAGAAAAAGTATATATTGTTTATAGGAATAGATTTATACTGCTTCTCTGTGTTTATTGTTTCTATCTTTATAATTTGCATTATATTTTTAATGTAATAAAAATGAAAAACTTGTGTGAAAAATTTTAATCGCATTACGCACATATATAATATATTTTATTTCATTAATTATATTTGTTATAACGTGAATTTTTTGCATTTCAGCATTCAAATGCGACAAATGTACGAAAGCCTTTTCGGCAAAGTCGTCATTGCAAGCTCATCTCAACACTCACAGACGCGAACCACCCCAGTCGTGCGTAGAATGTAACAGAGTATTCATCCGGCAAGATTGTTTGATGCGACACATTCGGGCGAAGCATCGAGAACTATTGGAAGACGTAATGAACGAGGTCGAGAGAAAACATTTACAGACACAGTTGTTCAATATTGCTACGATCGCTGCGGCCAAAACGAAAAACGGAGAATCCAGAAGACTTTCCACCGACGAGTTGCTGAAAGCCATCATAGATCTCTTGACGATACTTATTGAAGAGGAAACATTACAGGTATATAATTTTTCTTAATTCGATTTAAACTTTATTATTATCTTCTTTCTAATTTAGTTAACTAAATTATTTGATTGATACTTTAATAATTATATTAATTAATTTTTGACAGCTATTTGGTTGGCCAGAGGCTCCGATACAAGATATCCTGGAAGCCGTGATTAGAAGATGTGGACACGAGCCGATAACGTCGGAATCCAACATGATGTTCACCGAGAGGCTACGACAAAATGTTAAACTTTTGTTTACTGTCGTCATCGACACAGTGAAGGATGACACTGTAAAATCTCTTTTGACAACGAAGACAGTGGATGATGTCATTCTCCACGTTTTAGAAATATCTAATCGGATACAGGATTAGGAAAAATAAGTATATTTGTTATTACATGAAAACTTTTTTTTTTTTTTTTTTTTTTTTTTTTTTTTTTTTAATTTTGTAATATTTGAAAATCTCAAAATGCGCAAAATTTTTGAAAATAAAATTTGCAGCTCAATCATAAAATATAAAATAAGATTTTATTGAATAATAAAATCTTTTTTTTTATATTTTCTTATTCAAAATTCAACTAATAAAATATGTTAGCATTATATTACATCTTATATGTTAATATTTTTTATTAATGATTTAACAAATATTTCAAAGTTTTTTTTAAATTACTTAAAATTTATATATACATATATATCATTTGATACTATAGATTTTGCTTTTTTGATAATATTGTTATTACCGTTATATACTTATTAAAATATAAATATTTCATTCTTTTTTTTTCTGTATTGTAACTTTATATGTATATTTTTACAATGACGATATCTTATTGTGTGTTAATCATGTACTATGTAGACAATAATTCAAGGGTGCATTCGGAGTGCTTGTTGTTGCGCTATAGATGCAAATCGCTACAAAATCTGTTCAGAGCCAATAAAGCGTTCACGAATGTTTCTAAAAAGTATGTGTTAATGAATATGTATTAATTTAATATTATTATTTATATTATTAATTTGTTTAAATTAGAAGAACCATGTGAATGCTGTTGAATACGTCGACGTCGGTTTATAAGTATCGAGATTTATTAAAATAATATAATTAATACAATGTCAATACCATTACACAATCTCGGAGAAAATAGCATTTGCAAGCGCTTAGTTATGATAATACTCTACTAGTAATAGTATGATTCTGTTTAGTAGTACTATCAGCTAGCTTCTCGAACAGTCTTTGTATTGAATAGAGTTAATAGCACACTTTGCGAATGCACCCAAATATGCGGTATTGCACTTATGTATGTATACTTGGGTTTTATGTGAGACTACAATTTTAATTTTAATCTGTAAATGTGAAAAATTTTGTTATTGTTAATCAAACTTGTCCGAACGCAGAAAGAACAGAGAGCCGATCGTGTATTATATTATATACATATATATATAAATATATATATATGTATATTTTAAACGCTACGAATACAAATTTGTATCAGACATATCTTTTTCTAAGCGATCAAAGAATATATTATATATATTTAAATCTTATTTTTTGTTTTATCCGCGTATTTTCCCGCCTCGCGTCTCCATGGTTACCGTTCGAATTACGTCGGCGGCTTCCGCGGTATTCGCAGCCAACTTCCGGTTGTCAGTGCAGCGGGCTGCGCTTTGGCGTACGGGAGTCATCGTAGACTGTCTACCACTTTCGTCGAGGATTACTGGAAAACGAAGGATTTTCTATCCCTTCCCGATAATTCGCACGTTTCGGCTTTCATTTCTGGTGGTGAGTAAGCGTTTATATCTTCAGTATATACGTGTATTATCATTCCGTGTTTTTTTAATGATATATAACGTCATAGCAATCGTGATGCAGCGCATGTTGCGTGTCGATACGAAGTCGTATCGATTTTCTGCCCTTTCAGACACTTGTGTACGTGAGATTCTCGATTGTATGATTTGGGGTAGGAGATGCTAGAAAATAAACAAGGACGACCGCGTCTTTGTTCAGTTTTCTTAAGAACGAAAATTTCATTCCGCGCATCATTTTGGGAATGGAAGATCTCGTGATCTTTCAAGTGTTTTCCATTCTGACAGACGTAAGAAAATAAATATAGTGTGCAAGGTTAGATTTCTTGCAAGAATGAGGTGAAGCGACTTGCGCATGCGCACATAATAAATTGCATGTTGCAAACTGTAGAGAAATGTTGAGAAATAATATAAGAATAAAATTAAACGATTGCTATCCCTGCAGAGGCAACTACAATTTAAAAAAGGCATGCTTCAAGTCTCATTATTCAAATTAAATAGTTAAAAGTAATTAATTTACAAGAAACTTTTCAATGCTTTATATTTTTTATTTAATAAAATAATTGTGCAAAAATAATTTAAATAAGATATATATTTTTAATGCTGTAATATCAATTAATATAAATTTATTATTTTTTATGTATATATATAATATACATACACATGCAAGACATATATGTATAAATATATTTTATATATTATTATTGTGCCCTCTCTTTAAAAAAATCTGACATACGCGCGCAATTCAATTCCAAGAGCGAAAATTTCGAATTGAAAGAAAATCGCATTCGAAACGCCCCGTTTCCCGCGCGCAGCAGTGACTTTCCCCCTCTCCTGGCGTGCGCGCGCACCGGCGCCTGATTGGTTCGCGTCATTGACGGCAGAGGTCACGTGACGCCGCGGAGCTGCTCCGCTCGCGGCGCACTTCGCTGCGTTCATTCGCGGTCCGGACGGCTGACGCGACGGATGGTGCCTGTGAAGTGTGCTCGTGCGGTAGTCTTGCCTTCCACCCACTGGTTCCCACGTACATATACGTGGTGTCATCGTCGGTGTCAGTGACAGCCGGTCGCCTCCAGCGCTCACCGCCGGCGAATACCAACCTCTTCGTCCGCTTATCGATCCGCCCTCAAGGTTAGTGAGCGTAACCAGCTTCGGCGCGGAGCGCCGGTGATTAACGACACGTTTCTCTCGAGAGCGCGCGTTTTCCGTGTATGTATAAGTTAATTCGGTTATATATAGAGCGTGATATACACCGCTATTCTATGCGCACGATTATCCAGCATTTCGCTGGCCCGGAGATTCCGATTTCAATGGGACGGTTTTAAGAGAAAGATCGATAATGTAAAAAATACAAAAATAAAGATTAAACGTGTGTTTTTCAACATTTCTGTGCTCGGAATAATAATACGGTACGAATAAAAAAGTTGGATTGTCAAAGTTTAAATCTTTCGAAATCTTACTGTACTCTGGAAATGAAACAACATTCCCGCGAGATTTTTTTAGGAATCTGTAAAGGGAAATTTAAAAATTATAAATATAAATAGTTAATATATAATTGCTCACTATATTATCCTTCAAAGACTTTTTAATGAGTTTGAAATTTATGTTTCTCTTTTTACGGGAGTTTAATATAGAAAGTCATACTTTTTGCCGCGTTGTTTTTAAATTTTTAAATTCATAATTAGAACTTATATAACTTCAATATCTTAAAATGTAATCCATCTGAACCTTGTCACGATAAAAATAAAATTTTTACTATTTACATAACTGGAAGTCTTTCGAAACCTTTTATTCTTCAAAAATTAATATATTCATTATTAATTTTCTCAACATATTTCCGCTCGTGGATAGAATCGATTTTAGATTCATCGAAGAATCTGTCATTGCAAAACAATTCAGAAATATTGGGATATCCTGTATGTGCGGCAGACATGCCGCTCGATTTTCCGATTGGAATTTCCGATCGAGATATCGGAATTAGATTCGATCCCGCTTAATCGAGTAATTATAATTGTTTATGTATAACTTATAAATGAATTGATCTTACCTATATAATAATATAAATGTTCTGGTTTGAAAGATATTTTCTTTTAATATTTCATTTATACAAATCTTGTGTGTATCTGAATATATGTATATATTCAGATTTATAACTTTTTTAATATTCTATCTTCATAACTTTTTCTCTATATTCATATCGCAATATTCATTTTTAGTTATATTGAAAAGTTATCTTTAGATTGTTTATTGTGGAATGAATAAAGACTGATTATTATTTTTTACTATATTACACATTTTGATCAAAATATTATGTCAAAGAATTAAATATAAATTTGAAGCATTTTTTTTAAGAATTTTTAATTATGAATATAGTTTGATTTCTTGCAAAGTTAGTTTCTTTTATAAATTATTAAGTTTGCTATTTTATTTGCAAATTTTTCGAAACTTTGTCGTTTAATATTATAACATTCTTTTTCTTTAATTATTGAAAAGAAAGTCATAATATGCAAAGCGATAATGCAATTCGATAAAGTTTGATCACATTTGACATTAAATTTGATCACATTTGACATTTGTCGCGTGTTCTGACGTTTCATTCAATTTTTCTGACTTTTTATACATTTTTATAATTGAAGGGATTAATTAACTCGAAAATAAAAGATGAATATTGTTCGAATTGTGACGTATCTTATCGAATTTATATAAATATATATTGGATATTTGTTTCTTGTGTAGCTGTAGATTTTGGTATAATTCAATTTTTATAATTAAATTTATCTTTATTGTTGATAAAATTTATCACACTTTTGCAAAATTAAATTATCATATTCTTATCTTAACTATATATGCACCATATTTGTGTATAAGCGTAGCTGTTTACAGTCTTCTTTTTAAGTAAAAAAATCTAGGGAAGCGAGTTAAATAAGTGCACAATTAAAAGATAAAGATAATGTGTAATCTTTTTATTTGTATGCGAAGCAATTCTAGGATTATTATATATCAAGTACTTTTGGTTAATTATATTTATTTTTTGTACACGTGGCCCAGAAGGTTATATATGAAAATTAAGATAAAACGGAATTGAATTTCCTCTTATATACTAAATTAATTTTCTCAAATATTTATAAATATTTTAAACATTTTCTTCTACAAGAAACATTTTGTTTTCTTTATTTGATAATTGTGTTTTTCTTACACGCGCGTGAGATAACGGCCAAAAATCGGAGAAAGTCAATCTTTGGTGACGCGTTTAAAAGCTTTGTATATCCCGAATGTTATTGTATCATATCTAAAAACATACCGATTGTGCGGTTTTTTTATGTTTGCGTCTCTCTCTCTCTCTTACTCTCTGGTATGATGTAAGTGTGAGTGACTCACGTGCACATGAATGGATATAAAAATATTGATTTTCCCCTCTGTGTCCCTGTATTTATAGCGATGCTCCCGTCTGTATCACGGCATCGAAAGTTGTGCAACACTTTCGACGTTATCATTACGCACACAAGAAAGCGCCAGAGCTATTGTGTAGTCGAGCACAACTGAGGAGTATAAATTGCGAGACAGGATGCACCGCGAATATAATTATCGCGATAATGTCACTCCGAGTCTTCTTCCTTAGGCGAAATTCTCTGTTGCATATTTTTTCTCGCCGTTAACCTCGACACAGTTATTTCTTTATTTTTATTGCGCAATAATAGACATTCCGCTGTAAACTTTTAGTATTTATTGTTAAAGGAAGATCGCGTTGCGTGATTAAATATTAAAAAATATTTTGATAAACAAATAGCGCGATGCGCAATAAATTACGTTTCGTGGATCAAACGACAATTAATGATATGGCTCTGGTTTGCTTCATTTTGCGCTGAATTTGATTCCATCGTATTTGATAGCATGTCGAGCGATGTAGTCTAGAGTTAAAATGGTATAAACCGTGCCGAACAACATATAATTCTTTTATGCTCCGATTGTATCAGCTGCACGTGACAAAATACACGTTGCTGCTCTGATCATAATTTCGTCTTTAGTAATATTGCGCAATAGAAAAGAGGGAGGTATGAGATAGATAATGCGCAGACACGCATTGTAAACTTTCATCGCTCGTCAACCGATGGAGGGAAGATTAGAAGAGTTCTACATAAGCGATCATATGCACTTTATATACTTTCGTAATATTTCGTGAGCGCATCGAGAAAGCAAAGTTCCGTGTTCTTTTTCCGTTATCGTTGCTTATATTCGCATGACGAATCCATGTTGCAGTTATATAAACGCCGTTGTTGTAACGTCAATCTGTTTTAAGAATCAAAATTCATATACATATATTTGGTTAGTGTAATATATGTCATGAGTTTCACTTTATATAATTTTTATTTGATATTCATTTTCATATTTTTTCTCGAAATATTAATAGAGCAAAATAATAGCTTTTTGCATAATGATATGCATATAGCGACACATCATATTTTTCTTTTATTTTTTTTTTTTTGCCTTTTAATTTTTTTACGTGGGGAATTTAAAAAATTAAATCACAAAATGGAACCTTATTTCTTTTTGTTTTTTTTTATCCATTTATTAATATTCGCGAATTTTTTATCCATTTATTAATGTTTAACAATGAAGCTTTCTTTCTCAAGTAATAACCAGCTGGGAGGTACAATGCAAGAGTCAAGGAGAGAAAGAGAGAGAGAAAGGGGGGGATGAAAGAGAGAGAGAGAGTGAGTCAGATCACTGCATCGTCGTAGCACGCTGCGGCACGATCGACCGCGCACACGTGTCATTTAACGCATCCTATACACTGCTCCACCCCTTTTACGTATTTTGCAAGCACCCAACCGAAGATATCGTGGGCGATTTATATATTGCATTATGTATCTAACATCATCGTCATTCGTGACGCCATGACTTACGCGCCAATTATTACGCGTAATCCTTAGGCCCCATGCACAATATTAGGAAATAATTCGAAGAGAAAATTCTCTGTCCGTGTAATATTTAATATTTATACCTAATATTAAATATTACACGGACAGAGAATTTTCTCTTCGAATTATTTAGCCTGAGAATCAGGGAAATCGTGGGACGTTATGGTATTGGAAGAATTTTATCAGAGTTTTTCTAATTAAATATTTATCACAAATAAAAAAGATTAATATGTACGTAATAATTTTTACTATGTTATATCTTATTGTAGATATTCATTAATATTTTTATAGTGATAAATATTAATCAGAGAAATTCTTCTAATATCATATTGTCGATTAATGATTTTCAGGGTAAATTCATTTGACAATGAGTGAGAGAAAATTCTCTCTGTGTATATAAGAATAAGAATTTTATTTCAAAATAATAAAATTGAAAATACTTATATAAAAGTACAAATTCGGTTATAAAAAAGTGATGAGTAATAAAACTAGTAAGAGCACTTTATACTTGAATTTGTATTTTGTATATCAGTTTTTCGATTTTATTGTAAAATAATTCCTAATATTTTAAATATTTATTACTAATATTTTTTTCTAATTGTGCGCAGGACCTTATGGAGGGTCGTCTCGTCTTTAAAACTGTAGGGTCGTAAAATGATGATAGGAGAAACATTTTTTTGCGAATTATACGAAAGCATTCTCGTTTACGACCGCACGTTTGTTTGTTTATTACTGTAATTTATGTCAACCTGGAGGTGAAATGTTGTGGGGAAAAATAGTAAAATGAAAGATTAATTTTTCGTTCTCTTTTATTTTTCTCCCTAGTGGGAGTAATTTGCAAATTTTAAATAGCTTGGAAAAAAGATAATGAGACAAAACTGTCGAAAGAATTTTTATGAAGATAGAAAGATCTTTTAGAAATTGGAGAAATCTTTAAAAATATCAATCATAGGAAAAACTGATGAATTAAAAAATTTGTGAAAGATACAAAGAAAAATTTAAATTTCTTGATTCTTGAAGAAAAATAAAGGAACAATAATACTCGGCCATTTGCCAAGCAAAGTTTCAAAATAATAAATATACGTCCAAAATTAGCCCTCTTTACGAATAATAATTTCCTATTTATAGAAAAAATAAAAACAAATTAAATGATTATCATTACGTTAAGGTAAATTAAGCGCATTATTTCCAAAATTCTTAGGGATGTCTTTATAATGAATAGTGAAATTTCCCCGTGAAAATAAGCCGAGTTCGCAGTCGCATGCGCTCGTCCGGGCGGCTTTATCGACGACGAGAAACGGTCACATCCGGGCCCCGATTGCGTTGTCCGTGATCTTGAAGCAACTCGCCATATACAAACCGTGGTGGCATGCCGGGATACCTTTCACCCTGGAAACTTGCCAACTTCCTTCCTCGAGGGCAAGGACGGAACCGGCGAATATAAATCATGTCCCTACTATCCTTTACATTGCTATACTAATGGAGCGCATAATTAGGGACGGGCCACCATTGTTTTTTTTTCCACCCCGTCGACGATGTTTCCACTTCGCGAGTGAAAATCATTTTTTTTTGTCGCGGAATCTCGAGATTTTACCATTTCGCAGACATATATTGTTTGAGAATCGACAAATAAATTCTGATCAAATATTTTGGAAAGCGTTTCGGATCCAGTTTGTGTACAATAATTAATATTGACAATAAATGATACTTTGATGACCAACGGAGGCAATACTTTAACGACACTTAAGTTGATCTAAAATCTAAGATAAATAGGCTATTGAAGCCCTGCTGTTGTCAGCATCTTGAATCGAAACATCGAGATTCTAGATTACAATGGCGAGGTTGGCTGCTATAAAATAGCGTTTTTTTTACTAGGATTGAACTAGTTATCGAACTATTCTATTTTCTTTTTTTTTAGTTCAGTAACTTTGACCTTTTAAATTTTTTCCTTTTTCCAGATAATATCCAAATAGATTTTAAAGATATGTTAAAAATAGCACTCAATTTATAAATTTATTAAAAATGTCTTTCTGTTATTGACATCTCCATAAATTTTTATTAAAAAGTCACTCTTGTTCAAGAATTAAAATTGATTTCCTTATCAATGCCCTATCACATTATAGCAGACGTCAGGAATTAAAGGAAAAATTCAAACATATTTTCCGAAGATAGATAAGGATTTTTCCAGGAGGGGGCATGATTAAAATTTTTTAAATTTTTTGTTCTCTTTCTTAATTGTTTAAAATTTAATTATTTGTTATTTTCATCTTTTTATATTAAATATGTTAACTAAATAAATTCCAGTGTTTATTAAAAAGGAGAACAAAAGTTTAATTTTTTACTCCAAAATTTAACACTCTTCCGTAAGAGAGTGCCAGAGTAAACATTCTCATATTTTCCTCATTTTTTTTATTTGTTTACCTAAAAAAAAAGTTTTACCCTCTGATTCCACTTGAACGATAAGAGGGTGTCTAGCGGTCAGGGAAATCTGGAAAACCGGGCATTGTCAGGGAATTTTACTGCACTTATCTGGATATTTATCTGGATTTTTTTACATTATTCTACATTTGTCTCAATAATTTGAAATTTTTTATTAAATAAATATAAACTTTTCCTTGACGCTAATTTTCTGTATTATAAAAAATCAATTCATTTACAGCGTGTTCGTTAATTTATATTTTCATCGTCGTGTTATTTTATTTCAATGTGTTTGAGATAGAGACAAAACTAAAAAAATTTAATATAATATAAATAAAAAAGATGATTATTTAAATAGTTTATACTACATGTTTGTTTCGAATATTGTATACATAATGCAGATTGTATAATTGATTTAAATTTGTTTTTTTAACTTCCTTTTCATTGTTGACAAAAATATCTCAAGAATTTCACGATTTAACATTTAATTGATTTATCACATAAATATATACAAATTATATATTTGCACTGAAAAAACTAAATTAATGCATATTTAGTTCAATACTGTCAAATGAATCATTTATTTGAACCAAATAAATAAGGATTGTCTTATATCAAATAAATATTATTAGTTTCAAATGAATATATTTCCTGACTTTTTAGTATTTTTTCTACACTGAAAACAAATTTAGTTAAAATTCTTATAAATATTTATTTCAATGTACTGTCAAATAAATTATTATAATTTATTTGACAGTACATTGAAATAAATATTTATAAGAATTTTAACTAATTTTTTTCAGTGTAGAAAAAATACTAAAAAGTAAATTATTATAATTTATTTGACAGTACATTGAAATAAATACTTATAAGAATTAACAAAATTCGTTTTCAGTGTAGAAAAAATACTACAAAAAATCAGGGAAAAAACTGAATTTCGGTGTTGGAAAATCTGAAAAAGAGTGGGGAAATTTTCAGTCATCGAGTCTGCTGGTCCACCCTGGACAAGATCCGCGGCGGGAAAACCGTTTCTTGACCTGCCCGCACCCAGTTCCGAGCCGACCAGCTGATCGTTCATCCCGATCGCGCGCCGACCACGTCGACGTCGCTCGAGGGAGGAAGAAAGAGAGAGAATCGAAAGAGGGTGGATGGAAACGCTCGACGTCGTCGACGACGACGACGGAGATGTGCCGTGTCGCGTCTGCGCGTCGCGACGCCATCGACGATGGGTCGGTCGGTCGGTCGGTCGGTCGGGGGTATTGATTTTCCAGCCCGTCGTGTGTACATATATATATATATATATATATATATTCATATACGTTCCATGTGTGCGCGCACAAACACGCGAGGAGCTTCGAACGGCCGGCACAATCCGCCCGCGGAATTCCGCAAAGTCTCTCTCTCTCTCTCTTTCATCCCCGTCGATCGCTTCCGGTGGTCCTCTTCGTGGTCCCGATCGAGGGATTTCGCGGAACCGGATAAACAGTTTGGTGCTCCAATTTGTGTGCTCCACGTTTGCGCCGAGGGAGAAGCTTCCCCGTAGACGTTGTTGTTGCGACGCTCTGTCACTCCCACCCTCCGGTCCTCGTCGAGGAGAGTGGCGGAGGGTGGTTTCTCGCGACTCCACGCGCGGACGGAGTCTTCGTTTCCCGTCAGCCCTTCGACGGACGTCGTCTCGTATCAGCGCGCGAATACTCACGTAGGGATATATATATATATATATATATATATATATATATGTATATATATATATATACATATATTTGTTCGGAAAGTGACGACCTCGTCTCGTTCCACACTCCTGCTTTCGGGATCTGATTCCGGGTTCTCGGATATGTTGCAGGTCGCGCCGATCGGCGACACCAGGAAGCGCCCACATCGCCGGTAATCCCGAGGAGAGGCGGGAATCCAGGCACAGGAGGACCCTCGTCGAGGAAGAGGAAGGCTGTCGCCCGACATCTAGTCCCGTCAGGCACCCGACCACCAGCCGGCGATGCCTGCACCGACGTCAGCTGCGGGTGCGGCCGAGGGCGGCCCACCTCGCACCGAACTGCAGGAGTTACAGCTCAAGGCCGGTCAGACCACGGATGAGGTGAGTGTGTGTGTGTGTGTGTACGCTGTGTACATCATATGTATATGTATGCGATGTGATGCACGATGTGATGTCGTGACAGCCACGAGGATTTACGACGCAGCGATTAAAATCGGAATCGTAATTTCGCCGTTCTTCGAGGATCTCTATTTCGGTCCTCGAGGGAATTTTAGTTTTTATTTTTATTCCCGACGATCGGCAACAATAAAAGGCTTCCTTCTTGCCGCGACTTGAAATGTCCCGCCTGATTTCTTATATGCAATTTGCAGCGACCTTAAGATCGCGTCTTGCATGTAATATTTATTTGTAATGATCGGTCGAAAAAAGGAAACATGATTGAATTTTTACTCAAATATTTCATGTCGTTATATATATATATGTGTTTTTTTTTATTAATGTCGTCCTCGGTCGGATTAATTATTTTTAAAAAGCGACAAGGATATTAAAACAATTTTATTGATTAACGGAATCAATCTGTTTAAAAAAGCTGTATTTGAGAAAATCATTACAACGAACTTAAGATCGCGTTTTACATGTAATATTTATTTATAATGATCGGTCGAAAAAAGGAAATATAATTAAATTTTTACCAAAACATATCATGTTATGTATATATATATATTTTTTTTTTTTTTTTTTTATTAACAATGTTCTCAGTCGGATTGATTATTTATAAAAAGCAACAAGGATATTAAAACAATTTTATTGATTAATGAAATCAATCTGTCTTTGAAAAGATCATATTTCTGGCCTCATATTTTTTCATAAGAAAATATAAAAATATAAATTCAGTTCAACAAATTTATTTAAAAATTTCCTTTAATTAATTTTCAAGATCAAATAAATTTAATTTCGCGTCTAACTTTTATTAGCTCATTTTCAACTTGAATTTATATATATTTAAAAAAAATAAATTAGCTCATAAAACAGACAACGAAGATGATTTTGAGGTGTATAACCAGCTCGATCGACAAATATATTAAAACAATTTTATTGACTAATGAAATCAATCTGTCTTTTCATAAGAAAATATAAAAATATAAATTCAGCCCAACAAACTTATTTTAAAATCTTTAATTAATTTTTCCGCAGATCAAATAAATTAAATTCCACGTCTGGTTTTTTAAGCTCGTTTTTATCTTGAATTTATATATATATATTTAAAAAAAAATAAATCAGTTCATAAAACAGACAACGAAGATGATTTTGAGGTGTATAACCGGCTCGATCGACAAATATATTAAAACAATTTTATTGACTAATGAAATCAATCTGTCTTTGAAAAAATTATATTTTTTTATAAGAAAATATAAAAATATAAATTCAGCCCAACAAACTTATTTAAAAATCTTTAATTAATTCTTCCAGATGGTTTTTATTAGCTCATTTTCAACTTGAATTTATATATATATATATTAAAAAAAATGAATTAGCTCATAAAACAGACAGAGAATGATCTTGAGGTGTATAACCGGTTTGATCGACAAGGATATTGTAATAATTATATTGACTGATGAAATCAATCTGTCTTTGAAATATAAGAAAATATAAAAATATAAATTCAGCCCAACAAACTTTTTTTAAAATCTTTAATTAATTTTTCCGCAGATCAAATAAATTAAATTCCACGTCTGGTTTTTTAAGCTCATTTTTATCTTGAATTTATATATATATATATTTAAAAAAAAATAAATCAGACAACAGACTCATAAAACAGACAACGAAGATGATTTTGAGGCGTATAACCGGCTCGATCGACAAATATATTAAAACAATTTTATTGACTAATGAAATCAATCTGTCTTTGAAAAAATTATATTTTTTCATAAGAAAATATAAAAATATAAATTCAGCTCAACAAACTTATTTCAAAATCTTTAATTAATTCTTCCAGATGGTTTTTATTAGCTCATTTTCAACTTGAATTTATATATATATTAAAAAAAAATGAATTAGCTCATAAAACAGACAACTCGGATGATCTGGAGGTGTATAACCGGCTGGCTCGACTTCTGTTTCAGTCTCTGGAGAGCACGAGGCGTATGCTGGCGCTATGCGAGGAGGTGAGTCTATCCTTTTCGTCATTAGTCCCTCCTTATTTGCGCATCGACCCCTCGATCCTCTCTCGATCGTCCTCGAGATTTCCCGCGTCGGTGCACCAGGCCCTTTTTTCTCCCGATTCTATCCGAATCTCTCGGTAGCAGCCCACCCCCAGTGAACAACCTCTTCGCTTAGATCCCTCCAACTTCCTCGGAATCTCTTCCCGTACCTTCTCCCTCCGTCTGTCTCGTAAACTAGGAACGGATTTTTCATCGACGAATCGTTGCGCGCTACTGCGGCAAGCTTCGCTTCAAGTTCTACTCTCTTTGGAATTGCTAGAAAACTGAGAGAACAAAAATTAAGAAAATGCCAGCAAGCAGGAGAGGAGTCGCGCCAGAGAGAGGTGGGCAAAGTACTATTTCGATCGAGTTAACCGGTCAAGTGGCGGATCTTCGATCCCTCCGGAGATTCGAGAACTGACTAAAGTACATATCGTCAAGTAGACAGTCGGACACGAACCATCTAAGTTTGATGAGAGAAAATTAACGAAGCATGCTCTCGATATAATTCAACCGGAGCAAAAGCCCCGGAGAGATCTTTGCTTTTCATTTAATCGACTGATCGAGGTCTCTTGTTTTTTTTTTTTTTTTTTTACTATTTTTACTATCAGTATTTTATTGATAACGCCACTTGACCGGTTGAAACGTTGTTCTTGCGGGCTTTTGTGAGAGATTCACGCCGGCGAGATACTCCTGCGGAGTCCAAGTCTCATCAGGGGGAAAAAGAAAGAACTTCGTGGGGACCAACTGGGAGGTGAACGTCGAAGAGATGTGTCTTTTTTTTTTTTCTTCGAAGTAGTATTTTATCCAGCTCTGGTGCCATACGGAGGCGACGATTCCGAGAGCGTGTTGCGGATCCGTGAGCTTGTAAAGAAACATATTACAGAGGGGATTTTCTGTTCCCCAGGGGGAGGATGGGGAAGGGGGGCGAAGGATCCCCGATTTTGTGGAGAATCGCGAGAAGGAAATAAAATAAAAAAAAAAAGAAGAAAAAAAAAAAAGAAAAATCGATCGAGGGAGAACAGACCTATCGTGCGAATTTGTAAGACGACGCATCGACGCGCTCCGAGAAACGGCGAGGCACGTCGCGAACATGCGCAAAAATATTAAGATCTCTTTTACCGATTAGAATTTAATTAACGGTGTAATTATGGTAAGGACGATGCAGATATTATATTTAAAATTTTTAATATTTTTAAACCTCATTTTTTTTATTGTACATATATATTTTTCATTAAATTGAAATTTTATGCAATATTTTTTGCAATAAAATTTTACAAACAAATACTAAACGAAATAAAAAAATGTAAAGGAAAATATAGAAAAGGATTATCTATTGAAATATATTCGCGATTAAATAATCGTATTATTTAAATTCCGAAAATCACCCTTTGTATAAATTTGTTTTCAGTTTATTTTATAATTACTGATTACAATCGCACTTTTCTTCGCGAAATTTAAAATTGAATATTTTTTTTAAATATGTTAAATTTAATTACGTTTATGCTTAATGGTGAGAAAAAAAAACACGAAGCTGAGAAAAAGAAACAAAATATTCCATAATTAAATTTAAGCAATTTTATTTTAACAGAAACTTTGCTCGAGATTTAAAATTCTTTATACTTCTTAATATTAGATGCTTGTAATCAGAATTTCCTCGAGAAAAAGCTCATGCTTAATTTATCAAAGAACTTGTTTGGAAGGATATCCGATAGTTCTGGAATACAGACTTATATATTGGACGTACTAGAAAAAGTAATCTTGAAAAAATTGAGGGTCAACTGCTCTCGAACTGAAAGATTAAATTGCTTTCATTTTATTTTTTATAGTCTCGCTACGTGAAAAACACAATTCTGAATAATCTCAAACAAAGTGTTCAATTATTTTCTTCCGTAATTATATGCACGGAAAAGTTCGAGGAGGAATATTTATATAAAATACGAGTATATTTATATAAAATAATATTAAAAGTATACGTAGAAATATAATTTTATTGAACCTTTCAAGACAATGAAGAGCGCGTTTGATTCGACAAATGAATGAAATAGCAATTCTCGATTTTCATATTATTTTCTGCAAGTGAGACGGCATAATATAACATATATTGTACGAATACTTGCCTACCATTTTATTGATTTAATAATAACGCTGCCTTTTATTTGCTCGCGTGTGTTTCACGATATTGCGTACGTTCGCGCGTGCCACGACCGTGAAAAAGGAACTACCTGCATTCTGCAGCTCTCTCCATATTCTCTTATTTCTATGCATAATTATTCGCTGTCTATGCTCGTTACCTTCGATATCTATTACTATTCTCGATACATTATATTTATATATCTGTGTGCGCGTGTACATCTATATGAATGTATGCGGTTCTGTGTAACTGTTTGTATGTGTATGCATATACATACACATACGCATACACATAATGATGATGTTTACTCTCTTCTACTATACTTTTAACTTACTGTACTTGTCGAAGGAATGCACGCAACTGGCTTCTGCGATCTGATCCGTCAAACCGATGGCTTATTCTGTCTAACAGTCATCGTAACAACACTAATTGACAATTATTGCTAGTACTGCAATTACGATTCGAATTTCAAGACACGAGAAAAGTATTGAAAAATTGTCTCTTAATTGTTGCAATGTTTAATATCTCTATTTCGCGACTTTTTATATTTATTAATACCGTACGTTATAATTTCAGAAATTCAATATTTTCATAATATTTATTCATATTTAATGTATTATATATAAAATTTGATCGAATTTTTATAAGATATATATACAATTCTGTGCGACCAACTTTCTGCATCCTCGCAGGATTGCATAATATTGCGTAATCGCGCGAAGGTAAATTTAGCGTAATTTTATCATGATTTTTTAAATCGTGATTTTTTGCTAACATTTACAAGAGTACGGTGGAAAAAAAGCAAAAATGTTGTGATTCGAAAAAGGAGGATCCGAGGTCCTTGCGTCGTTCCGTTTCAGTCTATTTCGCTCCTACTTATCTACCTGTGGCTGCACTAATAAGCACGTGTCGCATTCTTCCGAGCACCGGGGACGTCCCTCGAATCATCATCGGCCGAGAGAAGCGTACGTACACACACCCACAATGCGCAATGCGTCATCATTGTCACGTCGCGCGTGATAATCAAGTGATCAGAGGACCAAGAGTCGCAAACTCCCGAAGGAAAAAAACCGGGTTTCTCTATGCGTTATCTTTTCTTTTTTTTTCCTCGGCGACACACGAGATGACGAAAATCCCCGAGAAAATTGGACGCGCGAGAAATATGCGAGAGAGTAGACTACGATATTCGAAAGTGGCGATCGATATCGTTCACTTTTTTTTTTTTTTTATCTCTTTCTTATAGCTCGATCGACAACTTTCTCGTTTCCCGGTAACAAATTTTTTATATATAATTATATATAAATAATTGTATAATGTTATACTATAATCGTAAAATTATATGTGAAATATGTCTATTTTATACATAATTATATAAATTTTTATATAAATTGCAAGGGTTCATATATATAATAATGTCAAATATATATATATATATATATATGAAACATATATATTTATATATATGAAGAAATACTTATTTATTATATATAAAAAGCACTTTTATCTTATTATGTATGGATATATTTCATATACAATTTTGCGATTATATGTATAATGTTATATATTTCTATATAATTTTATATTGTTATAAAAAATTTTTTACCGGGTTCATCGGACGCTGATGAAATTCGCGGGTTTGCCCGCATCTATTTTGCGACCCCTTTTTAGCGCAAGCTCCCTGTGCGCGACGGTGTGTGAGACGTCCTTTTTTTCTTTTATCGATGCTTCTTGCCTAAATCGAACGCGTGTATTTCGCTCTTTTCCGAGCGATTGATTCTCTTCGAGCGAAATACCTGAGTCGGGGAGAAAATTTATTTTAACGAAAAAAAAGGGAGATCTTTTAATAAACGAATTTAATGCGGTTTGGAAGAAATTTTTATCTCTATATAAATATCGCGATTTTTGACAAATGTTAGGTAAAAATATATACGGAGTTTTCTTTAAATAACTCTAAATTTTTTCTATTTTTAACATGATTTTTTTTTACATTCTCCTTTATACTTGAAATTATTTATATAATATAAATTGCATTCTTTGACTATAGCAAAATTTACTTTCACAAATTAAGCGACAGACGCATCTTATTATGCGACAATTTTCCGTCCAGGTAATTTCAATTTAATCCATCGTTATTTATCGATAGACCTCACTTATATTTATATATGATCCCGCTAACGCGAGATAATTGTCAATTAACGCTAATATGATTTTGCGTGCAATATTATAGGAAGACTATAGGGAACGAATGTGCGCACTAACAATAAGTATTCAATTAAATACGATGCAACGATTAACTAATTAAGAACGAATAATAATAATCATTAACAGTAATAATTATCGAATAATATAGGCGGACATACATATACGTGACATTTATTATACTATCGTTAGAGAGATAGTATTTATTACGATAAAAAAAGTTTCTCGAGGCTTTCGTCATATGCAAATTGCGCTTGCGCATCGTCGACGCAGGTGACATAAGCGTACGTTTCTCCTTATCTTCTCTTCTAAAACGTATCTGCGAATCCTTTTCTTCTCCTTGTATATGTGCCTTTTTTTTTAAATCAGAGCATTGCGTGGACTATATCAATACCCAAGTGGCAAACTGACGTCATTAAACGTCAAAATGATTTTGACGTCGAATGACGTCATTAAACGTCAAAATGATTTTGACGTCGAATGACGTCATTAAACGTCAAAATGATTTTGACGTCAAATGACGCCATTAAACGTCAAAATGATTTTGACGTCGAATGATGTCATTAAACGTCAAAATGATTTTGACGTCGAATGGCGTCATTAAACGTCAAAATGGCGTCAAAATGATTTT